CCCTGGCTGACCCCTCTGGGGGCCCAGTGCTTGCACGCGGCACGACTGTGCTCCCGTGCCCGGCGGTCCCGTCTGGTGAGCTGTCAGGTCTCCTCGTTCCCTCGTTCTCTACGAACCTGGTGAGCAACGCCGTCCTCCAGGATCACTGGGTTGACACCTGGACTCCTGGAGGGCAGCGTGTGGCGATCTGCACGTGCTCCAAGACTGGCCGCCACCTGGCCACGTTCACTCGTGAGCCGGGGTCCAGTCTGTACACCCTCACCACTGTTTCACGCTCCGCTCCTTTGTCTCCGCAGCTGTACGCGTCTGCTCAGGTAGCTACCCAGTGTGAGTGCCGCCGCCTGTCGCACGACACGCTCCTGTGGCACCACCGCCTTGGTCACCCCTCCCTGCCTCGCCTTCGTAGCATGCACTCTCGCTCTCTGGTCTCTGGGCTTCCCAGGTCTCTGCCTGCCCTCCCTCCCTCGCCTGCGCCGCCCTGCATTCCCTGCGTCGAGGGGCGGCAGCGCGCCGCTCCTCACTCCTCCTCGTTTCCTCCCACAGAGGCTCCCCTGCAGACGCTTCACCTGGACGTGTGGGGCCCAGCCCGCGTCCAGGGACAGGGCCGTGAGCGGTACTTTCTGCTGGTTGTCGACGACTTCACGCGTTACACCACGGTCTTCCCCTTGCGCAGCAAGGGAGACGTCCCTGCTGTTTTGATCCCCTGGATCCGCGCTGTGCGTCTCCAGCTCCGCGAGCGGTTCGAGCGGGACTTTCCTGTCTTGCGTCTGCACTCTGACAGAGGTGGTGAGTTCTCCTCTGACCTCTTGGCAGCCTTCTGTGCGGAGCACGGCATCACCCAGTCGTTCATGCTTCCGGCCTCTCCGCAGCAGAATGGGGTTGCTGAGCGCCGCATTGGCTTAGTCATGGAGGTCGCTCGTACCTTCATGATCCATGCGGCGGCTCCCCATTTTCTGTGGCCGTTCGCGGTCCGGTACGCCGCGCATCAGCTCAACCTCTGGCCCCGTGTCTCCTTGCCGGAGACCTCGCCCACACTGCTGTGGACGGGGGAGGTTGGCGATGCGTCGCGTTTCCGGGTCTGGGGTGCTCGTGCCTTTGTCCGCGATCTCACCGCGGACAAGCTCTCTGCTCGCGCCATTCCCTGCGTCTTCCTTGGTTTTCCTCCTGACGCGCCTGGCTGGCAGTTTTACGACCCCACCTCGCGCCGTGTCTTTGCGTCTCAGGACGTCACCTTTGACGAGTCTGTTCCCTTCTACCGTCTCTTTCCCTACCGCACTGTCTCTCGCCCCCCCCCGCCGCTCTTTCTCGCTCCAGGTCCTCCCCAGGTAGACCCCCTCCCCGTGCCAGGTCCTGCTCCTTCAGGTGTTTCTCAGGTAGACCCTCCGGTACCTGCGCCTGTTGAGGTCACTGGTGACTCAGGTCCTGCTGGAGGTGGTCCTGCTCGGGGTGCTGTCTCTGGGGGTGCTGAGCCTGGGGGTGCGGAGCCTGAGCGAGAGGCGCCTAGAGGTGCTGAGCCTGGGGGTGCGGAGTCTGGGGATGCCGTGCCTGCGCGTGAGGAGCCTGGCGGTGCTGAGCTTGGGGGTGTCGAGTCTGAGGGTGCTGTGCCTGCGCGTGAGGAGCCTGGAGGTGCTGAGCTTGCGGGTGCCGAGTCTGCGGGTACTGAGCCTACGCGTGAGGAGCCTGGGGGTGCTGGCGCTGGAGGTTCTGGAGCAGCTGGGGGTGCTGGCGCTGAGGGTTCTGAGTCTGCTGTTGCGCGGTCTCCTTGGAGTAGCCGCCTTCGTCCACGTGTGCCTCTCACCCCACAGCAGCTGCAGGACTGGTACGGTCACCGTCAGCGTCGCGCTGCTGGAGCTAGGAGTGGTGCTGGACCTTTGTCTACTGGAGGTGCTGGAGTCGCTGGTTCTGGAGGTACTCGTACTGGAGACACTGAGGCTGGAGACCCTGGGACTGGAGGTGCTGGCTCTGGGGGTGCTGCTGCTGGTGACACTGAGGCTGGAGACCCTGGGACTGGGGGTGCTGGTTCTGGGGGTGCTACTGCTGGAGACACAGGGGCTGGAGACCCTGGGACTGGAGGTGACGACTCTGGGACTGGAGCTTCTGGAGCTGCTGGAGGTTCTGGAGCTGCTGGAGGTACTGGAGCTGCTGGGGGTACTGGAGCTGCTGGAGCTGCCGGTACTGATGCAGCTGCGCCGACACGACTGTTCTTCGCTCCGCCGTCTCCGTCGTCTCTGCCGCCGTCTGACTCTGTTCTTCGTCAGGTTCTTACTCTCCCGTCGTCTACTGGTCTTCCGTTACAGCCTGGCTCACTGCTGCCTGCTCCTTCTCCTTACACTGAGCAGACTGGTAGTCCTGCTGAGCGTCGTGAGCCTGTGTCGCGTCCTGTCTCGCCTGCTCGTCCCGGTCGTCGTGTTCCTCGTTCGCGTCAGCAGGCTGTCCCCAGCACACACCTCGTAGTTCGTCGTCCTTCCTCTGCTCTGCAGCCTGTTCCTCTTCCGTCTCCTCCTGCGTCCTCTCTACCTGACGTTCCAGACCCTGAGTCTGACCGGTTTCGTGCTGAGCACCCTACTGTCACGCGTCTGCTAGCCACTGTTGTTACTGACCCGTCGTTTGAGTCTACTGCTGCGTCTGCTCTTGTCGCTGAGCTTGTTGACTTTGCTGCTGCCTGTCGTCTAGACTACGCCGCCAGTCTTGTTGCTGAGTCTGCGTCTGTCTGTCCTCCGTCCGTCGGGGGTGAGTGTGCTCTTAGCACGGACGTCCTTGAGGACAGGCAGGAGGAGTTCCAGTGTCTTGCTGCTGCTTTACCTCATCTTGTGTCCTCGCTACTTGCCCCTGAGGGAGACCCGGATGCACCAGACATCCCGACTCCGCGCTCTTACGCAGAGGCGATAGAGAGTCCCTACTCCTCTCAGTGGCAGGCAGCCATGGACGCAGAGATGGCTTCCTGGAAGTCCACAGGCACTTATGTCGACGAGGTTCCCCCAGTTGGGGCGAACATCGTCAGTGGCATGTGGATTTTCAGGGTGAAGCGGCCGCCGGGTTCTCCGCCTGTCTTCAAGGCGCGTTACGTGGCTCGAGGCTTCAGTCAGCGAGAGGGAGTTGACTTCTTCCAGACCTTCTCCCCCACCCCGAAGATGACCACTCTTCGGGTGCTGCTGCACGTTGCTGCTCACCGTGACTACGAGCTTCACTCTCTTGACTTCAGCACTGCTTTCTTACAGGGCAGCCTGCACGAGGAGATCTGGCTGCGCCGCCCCCCGGGCTTCACTGGGTCGTTCCCTCCTGGCACCCAGTGGAGCCTCCGACGGCCGGTCTACGGTCTCCGCCAGGCGCCACGTGAGTGGCACGACACACTGAGGACGACACTTGCGGCTCTTGGGTTTGCGCCTTCTACTGCTGACCCGTCGCTGTTTCTGCGCACAGACACTTCACTGCCGCCGTTCTACATCCTCGTGTACGTCGACGACTTGGTTTTTGCCACTGCTGACACTGAGGCTCTCGCCCACGTGAAGTCGGAGCTGCAGAAGAGACACACGTGCACTGACTTGGGTGAGCTGCGCAGCTACCTTGGCTTGCAGATCACCCGGGACAGAGCACGCCGCACCATCACCTTGACTCAGTCACACATGGTGCAGCAGGTCCTTCAGCGCTTCGGCTTCACCTGGTCTTCAGCACAGGCCACTCCTCTGGCTACAGGTCACACGCTCTCAGCTCCACCTTCGGACGAGTCCGTAGAGCCGAGTGGTCCTTACCCAGAGCTAGTCGGCTGCCTCATGTACCTGATGACTTGCACTCGACCTGACCTCGCGTACCCTCTTGGTCTCCTCGCTCGCTACGTGGCTCCTGGTCGACACCGACCTGAGCACATGGCTGCTGCTAAGAGGGTACTGCGCTACTTGTGCAGCACATCAGGCATGGGGCTAGTGCTTGGAGGGACGAGCCCAGTTGTCCTCACTGGGCACTCAGACGCTTCTTGGGTTGACGACCTGGCTACTCAGCGGTCGTCACAGGGTTACACCTTCAGCCTTGGCTCTGGTTTAGTTTCGTGGCGTTCTACACGCTCGTCTTCAGTTCTCGGCTCCAGTTGTGAGGCTGAGATCTACGCCACCGCCATGGCTGCACAGGAGTTACGCTGGCTCACCTACCTGCTGACTGACTTGGGAGAGCAGCCTCGTTCTCCTCCAGTGCTGTACGTTGACAACAAGGCCGCCATTGCCTTGTGTGAGGAGCACAGACTGGAGCACAGAACGAAGCACATTGCTCTGCGTTACTTCCTGGCTCGAGAGTTGCAGCAGCGAGGCCAGCTTTGTCTTCGTTACGTGGCCACTCGGGCCAACACTGCTGATATATTCACCAAGGCACTTCCGTCTGGTGATCATCAGCGCTTTTGTACTCTGTTAGGCCTTGTGCCTACGCTTCCACACTTGCTGTAGTCTTTGCTTGTACTGTGATCTATATATATATATATATATATATATATATATATATATATATATACCTGCATGCTGGCTCTTGCTAGGTAGCTCGACACTGTACTGTCATTGCTGCATATATATCTCTGCATGTGAACTGGCCTTGTGGCCATTTGCTTGTGCTCAGAATGTGTGGTGACGTTGTGATCCACCCTGAGCTTGTTTTGTTTCTCTTGACTGGTCTTGTGACCCGTTGCTCTCCCCCACTTTGCCTATGGGGGTGTGTCAAATGATATATATGTGTGATACATATTGGTAGGCTGTAGTGGGGTAGATGTTATAGGGGATAACCCCTTAGGGTTTTCCTACTTGTAAAATTTCTCTCGATAGTGAACTCCACCTTGCCTATCTATCTCAACAATAAGCGCCGGCGCTTATGGCCGTGACTCAATTACAAGCGCCCCCCCCTAAAAAAACCGGTTTTATTATAAGCGCAGATGCGCCTATATCCGGGGTGATACGTTATTGTTGTTGTATCAAACTTGTGTTTCACATAATGTCAAGGTAAGGGCAGATGCTACACTGCAGATGTCACACGTTGGCATAGTCACCAACGCGAAGGCCCACTACCATCCAGCATCCTTTGAAAGCTCCCTCCAATACCTGCCGCACAAGCATGGGACGAGGAGCATGGGACGGGGAGCATGGGCCGGGGAGCATGGGACGATGGGCATGGACAAGGAGCATGTTGAACACCATGCAAAAGCGTCATACTGATTCATGCATGTGCTTGTGTGCGCACATGCACGTGCCTGCGTGTCAGCTTGTGTTTGCTTAACTTTTGCAAGCATACGGTAACTTTTGCAAGCATACGGTAACTTTTGCAAGCATACGGTAACTTTTGCAAGCATACGGTACCTTTTGCAAGCATACGGTACCTTTTGCAAGCATACGGTACCTTTTGCAAGCATACGGTACCTTTTGCAAGCATACGGTACCTTTTGCAAGCATACGGTACCTTTTGCAAGCATACGGTACCTTTTGCAAGCATACGGTACCTTTTGCAAGCATACGGTACCTTTTGCAAGCATACGGTACCTTTTGCAAGCATACGGTACCTTTTGCAAGCATACGGTACCTTTTGCAAGCATACGGTACCTTTTGCAAGCATACGGTACCTTTTGCAAGCATACGGTACCTTTTGCAAGCATACGGTACCTTTTGCAAGCATACGGTACCTTTTGCAAGCATACGGTACCTTTTGCAAGCATACGGTACCTTTTGCAAGCATACGGTACCTTTTGCAAGCATACGGTACCTTTTGCAAGCATACGGTACCTTTTGCAAGCATACGGTACCTTTTGCAAGCATACGGTACCTTTTGCAAGCATACGGTACCTTTTGCAAGCATACGGTACCTTTTGCAAGCATACGGTACCTTTTGCAAGCATACGGTACCTTTTGCAAGCATACGGTACCTTTTGCAAGCATACGGTACCTTTTGCAAGCATACGGTACCTTTTGCAAGCATACGGTACCTTTTGCAAGCATACGGTACCTTTTGCAAGCATACGGTACCTTTTGCAAGCATACGGTACCTTTTGCAAGCATACGGTACCTTTTGCAAGCATACGGTACCTTTTGCAAGCATACGGTACCTTTTGCAAGCATACGGTACCTTTTGCAAGCATACGGTACCTTTTGCAAGCATACGGTACCTTTTGCAAGCATACGGTACCTTTTGCAAGCATACGGTACCTTTTGCAAGCATACGGTACCTTTTGCAAGCAGAACGTGTAGGTGTACTCTCTTGTCCGCCCAAGCAACTCTGCACCACCATCAGCAGCACCACCATCCATTGCAGCCTCTACAGCAGTAGCAGCAGAGGATGACGAGGGAGTGACGGCAGCAGTGGGTGCAGCGCGAACCTTCACTGCTTGCAGAGCCTTGCTGTCAGCCTTGCCATGGAAGGTCATGGGGGATGCGAACTGCCACGCAGCAAGGAGGCAAGGGGGTCGTGAGGGATGGGGTTACAGGAGAAGAAGAGGGAAACATGAGGGAAATATGAGGGAAATATGAGGGAAATATGAGGGAAATATGAGGGAAATATGAGGGAAACATGAGGGAAACATGAGGGAAATATGAGGGAAATATGAGGGAAACATGAGGGAAATATGAGGGAAACATGAGGGAAATATGAGGGAAATATGAGGGAAACATGAGGGAAATATGAGGGAAATATGAGGGAAATATGAGGGAAATATGAGGGAAATATGAGGGAAACATGAGGGAAATATGAGGGAAATATGAGGAGAAGATGGTGTGGCTTTTGCAGCGCGAACTGTGGCGGCCTGCAATGCCTTGCTGGTAATGACTGATGTCGTCAGCCTTGCCATGGTGCGATGGGGAATGCCAACAGCCAAGCAGCAATGGGCATCATGCAGTTGGTTCAGTTCACATAGTAAGTCATGAAAGCTACATACGGCCCTGGGGACGGGATTTGTTGTAGTTCGTTCTCCCCACTCTCCACCCCCTCTTCTTTTTCCCTTTCCGTTTCCCCTCGTTTCTCACCTCCCACGACTCGCAGTGCAGCAGAGCAGCGTACATGGGTTCCCGCAGCAGCTTCTTAAAGCCCTCCACTGACAGGTACCGCTCACTGGCGTCCCATGCTCGCGCCTCCTTCACTGGCGGCCGGGCCTGGAGGGACTGGGGGGGATGAGACAGCTCCTTATAACCAGGGATGAGACATTATAAGGAGCTCCTTATAACCAGGGATGAGACATTCTCAGATTGCCACTGGCGCTTCAATTCATGCCCTCGTTTCTTCGTTGGCGGCCAGGTCTGGAGGAGGGATGGGAGGGGAGGGGGGTTGAGGGGAGAGAGAGAAGGATGACTGGGAGTAGGTGCAAGGAGCCTTGAAGCCGTCCAGGTCCACAGAGAGGTACTGCCCGTGCTGACATCGCACGGGCCAAATGTCATCGCCCTACCACAGAGAGGTACTGCCCGCGCTGACATCGCATGCTTGCGCTTTCGTCATAGGCGGCCGGGCCTGGAGGGATGGAAGGGTGGGTGGTAGGGCGATGACATTTGGCTCTTGAGAAGAGAAGGGTTGTTCCATTGAGTTCCCACACGAGTCGAGTTTTTTTATTCAGAATTCACCCATTGCCAAGTATAAATGCTACCTGAACGTACTCTCAGACTCACTTCTGAGCTTACTTAAAAAGCTAACCGATTCCAAGCGCCATTGCCAAGTTGAATGCTGTCTGAACGTACTATTGGCCCCAACCGCTCCCACCTCACTCGTCCAAGCACTACTTACTGACCCGGGCAAACTTCTGTCCACTTCGTGAGGCATCACATCAAGACTCGATTGTCCAATCACAACTCACCGATCCAGGCAGAATCTCGTCCACTTTATGAGGCATGGCGAAGTTGAACGCTGTCTGCACGCCGCTGTCCGCCTCCGGCCAGTCATTGCGCATCAGCGCGTCCATCTGCGCGCGCACCACGGCGGTCGGCGGAAGCAGCGCCGTGGGGTGGCGGTCCGCCAGCGGCCACTGCTGCTGCGTTTCCGACACAAACCGCAGGAACTCCGCCGTTAGCGCGTCGGCTTCGTTGTCCGTTGGAGCGGAGGTATCGTTGTCTGGAGGAAAGGGGAAGAATGGAAGGTAAGGTACTATGTGAAGGACACGGCTAATAAGGCGCGGCGCCTCAGAACGGTCTCCGAGGCGAAGCGCAGGAACTCCGCCGTCAGCGCGTCAGCTTCATTGCTGGCTTCATTGTCGCGTCGTCAGGTACCTGGTGAGGACGCGTCGTCGCTCGAAGCCGCTGCGGCTGACAGCCGTAAGAATCGTCTCTGACGTTTAAAACCCGACGACGCGTCGCTACATTCTCTTCTCGGTGCTGACTGTAACGAGGTCGACCACGAATGGAATGGGGTTGACGCCGATTGGCCAGCCGTTGATGGCTGTCGTGGCGCTGACAGCGAGGCGTGAGGTCCTTGAGACGAGACGCATTGGAGCGACACGTGGAGGCGACAGGCAGCCATTGGGGGACGCAAGCCTTTAGCGCAAGAATAGCCCAAGTTTGTACGAGAGAACGAGTTTGAACCAGAAACCGATTAGGGGACTATTACACGGAGCCAATCGCTGTAACTAGCTGATCTTGGACCAGACCGGAACCAGGTTGTGCGACGATCGACTTGCGCTGTCGTAATGGCAAATCCTTCACTCTAGAAGTGACTGCGAATACTTGGGTGGGATGGAATACACCATGTGTAGAGGCAGGATATCATCGAGGGAAAGTTAGCCGTCGATTTAGGAGAATCGGACGTCACTGAAAATGCGGCCAGATGCGCGCACTTGCGAGGGTGCTTGCGTGTGACTTCGCGAAGGGCCAGAAGGATGGCGAATGCTATGGATACGAATCCCTTGTATTGCGGACTCCGATAGAAAACTTGGTTCCGAAACGTCTCGATTTTTATGGATGAATCGATTGCCTTAAATGTTGTTGGTGGAATATATAACACATATCAAAATCCAGCTCAAACTCATCCACCATTCTCTGCCGGCACAATGCCATATTTCCCAAGCTTCACAACTGTGGATGCGCCACTAGGCAAAGACGGGTGCCTTGCAAGCGTGATCTGACAATAATCCGAGTCGTAATCTCGATCCAAGACGAGCCTCACATGCGGTGTCACCTTCCAGCTCTCCCCCAATGCCGGCTTGAATGTGCCATCTTCACTAGACACTGAATGGTTAGTGATCTGATTTCGGAGAACAAGGGAAAGAGAGGAGGGCAGGCGGGAGAGGAAACACGGCAACAGCGACAATGAATGGTTGATCAACATGTCCGTGATCTATCACGCTGCAAGCATTGACGGAACGAAACGTTAGTAAACAGGTGCATGGTAGCATCACATGAACAAAAACACAAAAGCAGATATGGAACCGCTTTAGTGTGGAGTGTAGCGAATGACAGCAATTTTATTACCAGTACAGCAAGTCCGAACTCGTTGGCCAGCAAGCGAATCATGCGACTGAGACTTATCATCAGGGCGTGACCTGTAAGGCGAGCAAGAAAAACCTCAAACTTAAACTTGAGTTTAAGGTCATTAGCTACCACTGGTCGTGGCTCTCAAGCACAGGGGAGTCAACAGCAGAGGCAGAGTCAATGGTGAAGGTTAATGCCTGCATTCCACACACCATACACCCTCACACCATGCACCCTCACACCATGCACCCTCACACGTTGCACCCCTCACATGTTACACTGCTCACATTTTCTATGTGAGTACCTTGTGGACCATGGCCCCCAAGCACAGGAGAGACAACGGCAGAGGCAGAGTCAATAATAAGCAGGCGAAGCACGGAGAAGAAATCCGACGACTGCCAGGCGAGCAATCGAGAACGGATGGTTAAGAATGTAGGGGGAGAAGATCTTAGGTTGACCCGGCTTGAATCTAGTGTGACTGTCAAGAGAAGAGAAAGAAAGTGTTGAGATTGGAGGATGCTGAGAAGAGAAGGTTAAGGGAATAGTGTGCTTGATGAGGAGAGAGCACGGTACAGGAACAAGATAACTAGCAAAAACAAGCTTGTCGTTTCGAATCAGATGCTTTACCTGTGTGGCTTTCCTCTTGTGCTCTGCAATGGTTGCCAGGAGGGACAGTAGTGAGTGGATATCATATGCCTTCATGCGCACCACTGCTTTCAAGGCCCGGGTCACAATGGCCCTCGATTCCTGAGAGGCAGAATGAATGTGCATATTAGCGGAGATGTGTGTGTGGAACGAGGAAAGCAGTGAGCACGTGACATATGCCTTCATGCGCACCACTGCCTTCAGCGCTCGACTCACAATGGCTCTTGATTCCTGAGAGACCTCGCAGGACTGGGTGTCAGATACGATACGTACGAGATATACACCAATCATCCGCAACATTATGATATATGGACGATAAATTTTACCACTGCGTGCCTTCGAGGCTCAATAAGTGTGGTGATGAGGGCAGCAGAGGAGCTGTGAGTCGCTTTATGAAATAAATGGGGTGGGGAGGTGAGGGGGGGCGGGGTGGGGGGACTGTGCCGCATGCACTGGACACACACACACACACACACACACACACACACACACACACACACCCACACACCCACACCCAGGCACGCACGCACGCACGCACGCACACACACACACACATTCACCCAGGCACGCACGCACGCACGCACGCACGCACGCGCACACACACACACACACACACACACACACACACACACACACACACACACACACACACACACACACACAGATCTCCTTCCTTCCTGTTGCGCCTCACCTGGCACCTTTCTCTGGACCCCATCACCGATCACAGTGGCAATGCGGGCAGCAGAGAAGCTACCACGCATATCATGCGCACTGTGTGTGGACTGCACACGCCTTTACCCCCCTCTTCTCCCCCGTCCCCCACCCTCCAATCTCACCTGGCATCTTTCCCTCAACTCAACCCCATCATTTGTCCTATCACAGTGGCAATGCGGGCAGGCAGCAGGGAAGCTGAGAGTCGCATTGATGAATGGAGGGGTGGGACGTGCACTGTACACTGTGCAGAAAAATGCCCTAAACACTCACACGCACACACCTCCTTCCTTCCCTGTGCTCCGAGTTGAAAGGGTTCGAACCGCAGCAAGCTTGAATTCGCCTGAAGGTTTTAGCTAAACAATACGTCTAACGGGGTGGGTGAGTTGCTGGAGTAAAAGAGAGTGGTAAGAAACCAGGACTACTATGAGTCACAGGTAATACTGTAGGCGTACGCATTTCGGCCGGAGCCGTCGCCGTGTGCAGAAAAATGCCCTAAACACTCACACGCACGCACCTCCTTCCTTCCCTGTGTTCCTCACCTGGCACCTCACTCTCGACCCCATCATTCGCCCGATTACGGTAACAATGCGAGCAGCAGAGAAAGCTCACCTGTTTTGAGGCGCCTCAAAACTGAACACACCCACAACTCTCTCCCCCAACCTCACCTGGCATCTCTCTCTCGACCCCATCATTCGCCCAATCACAGTGGCGATGCGTGCAGCAGAGAAGCTCCCAGCCGTGTCCACAAACGCCACCGACGACCCCCTGCTGGGCGGAACTGCTGTTGACTGTACACCGGGCGGCACTGCCGACCCTGTTCTGGGCGGCGTGCCGCCTTGGGGGGTTGAGCTGTGTGAAGCTGGAGTACTGCCCTGGTATTGCAAGGATTTTGAGGTATCGGATTGGGCGAGCAGCAGTGGGGCGATTGCAGCTACAGCAGCGGCTTGCAGACAGAACTGCAGGGGGGGTGAAAGGGAGGGGATGTGACATGCTTCAGACAGCAGCGATGTGATTGCAGCTACTGCTACAACTTGAAGGCAGAACTGCAGAGGGGAAGGAGGAACGGGAGGGGATGACACGAGCTTGAGAGAGCAGTGTCCACACCTAATGCGCGTGTAATGAGCCGAGTCTTGAGTCGACTCAAAACTTGAGAGAGCAGTCCCCGCCTAGGCTTTGGCCTGCATCAACAATACTAAGGACACCTATTCCAAAGCCTCTCCCCTCCTTTGCCTCCCTCTCCCCCCCTTTGCCTCCCTCTCCCCCCCTCCCTAGCCTCCCTCTCTCTTCCCTCCCCTCCAGCAGCCCACCTGCGTCTTGCCTGCACCAGCAGCGCCAGTGATTTCAGTCACAGCAGCCAGGGGCAAGCCGCCGCCCAGAAGAGAGTCGAGACTGAATGGCGCACAGCAGGGCGCATTGGGAGGGAGGGACACAGGGGCCGTGGTCTCGAGTCATAAAAACCTGCATCGCTATCGCTAACCAGCAGCGCCAGCAGCACCAGTGATTTTTGCCACAGCAGCCAGAGACAAGCCGCCGCCCAGAGGAGAGTCGAGACTAGATCGGATGCATCAGGGCGGAGTGTGAAGAACACGGGGGCGGGTGTGCTCGAGTTATGAATACCTGCTGACACCACTGGGATCTTGAAAGGTTGAACACAATCTGGTGCTGATAATGCGGAGCACCATGCGCCATGCACCATGCGCCATGCGCCATGCGCCATGCACCATGTATTACAGTCGTTCCTAGCTGACGCATGCCACCACTGTTGCTGCTGCTGCTGCTGCTGCTGCTGCTGCTGCACTTGCTGCCCTTATTCTCCTACCACACCACGCCACGCCACACACAAAAAGCACCGCACAGCACCACACAGCAACACAGTCTCACCTAGAGCACCCTGTGCTGATTGTCGCATACCACCACTGCTTCCTCCCACCACCATCACCATCACCCTCTTGCCACGGCTCCTGCAGTGGCTCTCCCCTGTTACGCCACTTGGCCTTTGTCTTCGCCTCGTCTTCCTCTTCATTGTATCTCCCCGGCCCTTGTGCCTTGGGGGCAGGCCCCCAAGGAACGCCCTCTTGCTGCACGTGCCCTTGTTGCAGGTCCTCCCAATGCAAGTCCTTTAGGAGTTGGTCACCGCTGGCATGTGCTGGCATGCACATGGTATGCACCATGTGATCATTCAGCGTATCTATGGCCTGCCATGGGATGGTTCACCCACGCACATGCATGCACATGCATGCCCATCCATGCACATGCATGCGCAGTCAGTCATGCACATTCAAGGAGAATCTGCTTATCATGCGCCGCCGCCAGCCAGCAATATCACGCTCACACATACGTGTGGCCACACATACGAATGTCCCTTATCACACTCACCATCATCATCACATCACCTGTAAAACGTCCTCCTTGGCCTGGCTATGTGTCATGCCCTCCACATCCCTCCGAAGCATGCGAGCATCTGCCATGATGAAATCCTCCACTGCTCCACTCCATGCAACCCCCCAGCGTGCATGCACGCACCAACCATCCCCCCAGCATGCGCGCACCAACCATCCCCCCAGCATGCGCGCACCAACCATCCCCCCAGCATGCGCGCACCAACCATCCCCCCAGCATGCGCGCACCAACCATCCCCCCAGCATGCGCGCACCAACCATCCCCCCAGCATGCGCGCACCAACCATCCCCCCAGCATGCATGCACCAACCATCCCCCCAGCATGCGCGCACCAACCATCCCCCCAGCATGCGCGCACCAACCATCCCCCCAGCATGCATGCACCAACCATCCCCCCAGCATGCGCGCACCAACCATCCCCCCAGCATGCATGCACCAACCATCCCCCCAGCATGCGCGCACCAACCATCCCCCCAGCATGCGCGCACCAACCATCCCCCCAGCATGCGCGCACCAACCATCCCCCCAGCATGCGCGCACCAACCATCCCCCCAGCATGCGCGCACCAACCATCCCCCCAGCATGCGCGCACCAACCATCCCCCCAGCATGCGCGCACCAACCATCCCCCCAGCATGCGCGCACCAACCATCCCCCCAGCATGCATGCACCAACCATCCCCCCAGCATGCGCGCACCAACCATCCCCCCAGCATGCGCGCACCAACCATCCCCCCAGCATGCATGCACCAACCATCCCCCCAGCATGCGCGCACCAACCATCCCCCCAGCATGCATGCACCAACCATCCCCCCAGCATGCGCGCACCAACCATCCCCCCAGCATGCGCGCACCAACCATCCCCCCAGCATGCGCGCACCAACCATCCCCCCAGCATGCGCGCACCAACCATCCCCCCAGCATGCATGCACCAACCATCCCCCCAGCATGCGCGCACCAACCATCCTCCCAGCATGCGCGCACCAACCATCCCCCCAGCATGCGCGCACCAACCATCCCCCCAGCATGCGCGCACCAACCATCCCCCCAGCATGCGCGCACCAACCATCCCCCCAGCATGCATGCACCAACCATCCCCCCAGCATGCGCGCACCAACCATCCCCCCAGCATGCGCGCACCAACCATCCCCCCAGCATGCATGCACCAACCATCCCCCCAGCATGCGCGCACCAACCATCCTCCCAGCATGCGCGCACCAACCATCCCCCCAGCATGCGCGCACCAACCATCCCCCCAGCATGCGCGCACCAACCATCCCCCCAGCATGCGCGCACCAACCATCCCCCAAGCATGCGCGCACCAACCATCCCCCCAGCATGCGCGCACCAACCATCCCCCCAGCATGCGCGCACCAACCATCCCCCCAGCATGCGCGCACCAACCATCCCCCCAGCATGCATGCACCAACCATCCTCCCAGCATGCACGCATGCACGATGCATGAATCATCGCCAGAACATGCATGAATCAAAGAAACGTGCACACATTCACGCACCAACCATCCTCCCAGCATCTACGCACGCAAGATCAGTGCATGCATTACGCATGCATGCACACAGAAGCGGCGAACGTAGTGTTCATGAAGAGACGATAAAAGCCGGACGGGAAAGGAAAGGGAGAAATGAGAGAAGGGAGGTAAGAGTCAATTTTGAGAAAGGGGAGAAACGGAAAGAGGGACAGGAGCGGATCAAACGTAAAGGGGAGGTGCGACAATGGTGGCATTCTGACGACGAGACGTGCGAAGGTCTGCGACGTCTGCAATCCAGGTCGCAAAATTATTGCTGGAGAATCTCGCAGTGCGACTACTGACGAGCGAGTTGAAGCTATCTCGCCGCGTTTCCCAACCAAGTGTTATACGCTAGTAAATATGAGACGCGAGCTTTAACGAGAATAAGCGACTCAGGCGACGATCAGCGTTCCACAAAATGGAACTGGATAGGAGTAGAGACAACGATGTGTTTGCGGCCGCCCAAATGCACCATTCATTCAAGCATGCGGCTCTTCTAGTCCGGAAGTTTCGTTTTGCCTTAGAAATCCGTTAGCGTCAACGGTAAGCTAAAATCAGACAACTCATCGCGCTGGCGAAATCCTCTAGCATCGAACTCTTGCATTCGTCAAGAACCTGCAGAGATATGCACAAACAGCTCTGCGAACATCCGCGAAAATCAATAACCAGCCAGGAGCTCGTGAACTTCCTCTGAAAAGAGTCTCCCAATAGACTGTCCCTGTATAGCCTCTCAGAGGTTCAACACAAGAGTGTAGGAAATAGAACCTGACAAGTCAATCATCAATATAAGTCATTGTATTTGAGATTGGGCCTGCATGTTGCTTCTCAAACCCCTATTTCTAAATAACAGACCTGCAAGGTCCGTTATGCAGATTATTGCACTTCTGCCTAAACATACAGCACATCCCTCCATCCATCCCATTTTGTCGATCGGAGCAGCGATATAGCGTCCCATCCACCGACGAGGATTCCCATTACCGTAACACCACTGAAATAGTTGATGCTGCTGGGCTGGTACCGAGATTCGGCATAAGATGCCAGGTGGTGGTAGGTAGCGTTAAAACCCCTGCCGTGTCACCGTGTGTGTCAGTCGGAGATGCGAATTTCCACATGGAGTAGATCCCTCATGATCTCGTACGTGACAAACGCAATGGCAATGGATGGCACCACCTGCAGTGTTGAATTGAATGGGGGCACAGAGGAACAGGAACTTGCAGAATTGGTGACGAGCCCTTAATTGGTAACAAGCCCTTAATTGGTAACAAGTCCTTTATAGAATGCCTTCACCCCTTCCATCTGCACCGTCTTCCTGAAAGCATCCACCATCCCCGTGTACTGCGGCGCACAACTAGCACAAGCCAGTGTCTCTCACCTTGACAGAATTGGGAACGAGCCCCTTGTAGAGCGCCTTCACCCCCTCCATCTGCACTGTCTTCCTGAAAGCATCCACCATCCCCGTGTACTGCGGCGCCGCTGCCACCGTGCCATCCGCCCTCACCACACCCAGTGCACTGCCCCGCCTGCTCCCTGCTTCCTCTGGGCACACAGACACTAAACCAGCTCTAGACAGCCTCACCTTCACAGCTTTTGGCACAGAGCGTGAAATCTCACCTTGACAGAGTTCGGAACGAGCCCCTTATAGAGAGCCTTCACCCCTTCCATCTGCACTGTCTTCCTGAAAGCATCCACCATCCCCGTGTACTGCGGCGCCGCTGCCACCGTGCCATCCGCCCTCACCACACTCGCCGCGTCTCGCCACCCCACCATCTGCAGCCGCCGCCGAATCACATCCAGAGGGTATGCAACAGTCTGCCCGAGGGTGCCTGCCACGGCCCCACATGCTAGCTTGGTGAGGACTGAGAGCTCCCCCATCTCGGGCTTGTCGGGGTGCTGTGCCGCGTACATCCGAGCGAGGGAGTCCTTTAGGGTTTCGTACACTGCAAAGTTGAGCCCCACGTAGGGGACCTGTGGAAAAAAGTAGGGGGATGGGGTATGGGGGACGGGAAGAGTCCGTCAGGGTTTCATAGACTGCAAAGTTGAGGCGCCTCAAAAGTCTTTTAGGGTTTCATAGACTGCAAAGTTGAGGCGCCTCAAAAGTCTTTTAGGGTTTCATAGACTGCAAAGTTGAGACCCACGTAGGGGACCTGTGAGGCGGAGGTGGATGAGAGGAATGGGGAGGGACGGGAAGAGGCGGGTGAACCACTGTCTGACGTAAAGTTCCCGCCACTTCCCTGCACGCCAGCTGTTGAAAATTTGTAAAGGAAAAGCAGTGGTGCAGAATCGCTCATCATGGCGCTTTTCCACTGCATTCATTGTTCAAGACTATCAGTTACCAATACACTTGAAATTCTCTGCAATCGCCTTTGACTGCAATCACTCACAACAGGAACCGTTAGCACGCCTCCTCCCTCACTACAGCCTCTGTCTTTTACAGTCACCTTCCACAGCAATTACCCACTGCTCAAGCCACTCACCACGCCAATAACAGAAGGTAACAATACCTATAACCCTCCTCCTTCACTACAGTCACACTCTTTTACAGTAAACTTCCACTGCAATCACTCACTGTTACATCCACTCACCACGCCAATAACAGAAGGTAAACAGACCCTGTAGAGCACACGCACGCCCTCCTCCTTCACTATAGTCACTCCTTTTTAATCACCTTCCATGCAATCACTCACCACGCCAATAACGGAAGGAAGCCAGCCCCTATAAAGGGCGCGAACGCCCTCCTCCTTCACTATAGTCACCGCCGCGTGTCGCATGCCTTTGTAGCGCTGCTCTCCCTTCCTGCCGGACTGGTGGTGGGGAGAACAGCGCAAGGGGGGAGAGTGTATGGCGAGACAAGGGAGCAGAAGGGTGAGGGAGTCACAGCTGCGTGGCTCATGCCCTTGTTAGGAGCTGCTCTCCCTTCCTGCCAGACTGGTGGAGGGCAGAGTGCAAGGGGGAGAGTGTATGGCGAGAACTATGAGCAGAAGGGTGAGGGAGTCACTGCTGCGTGGCGCATGCCCCTGTGCCACACAGCTGCTCTCCTTTCCTGCCGGACTGGTGGTGGGCAGAGAGTGCAAGGGGGAAAATGTATGGTGAGAGCTAGGAGCACTGTAGCGCATGCGCTGAACAGCACAAGGGGGAGATTCGATTGTATGGTTAAGAGAGTCACAGCTGTGTGGCGCATGCCCTTGTTCCACACAGCTGCTCTCCCTTCCTGCCGGACTGGTGGGGGGAAGAGAGTGCAAGGGGGGAGACTGTACGGCGAGAAAAGGGAGCAGAAGGGTGAGGGAGTCACTGCTGCGTGGCGCATGCCCTTGTTAGGAGCTGCTTGCATGCCCTGCCAGACTGGTGGGGGGAGCAACGCAGCGAGGGAGGGACAAGCAGAGAGAAAGGAAACGGGAAGAGAAGAGAGTAAGCACGGTGTGGCATGGCACGGCGCGGGAGAGGAGAGGGGGTCAGTGGCAGACATGGTGTGTTGCACCAGACATGGTGTGTTGCACCAGACATGGTGTGTTGCACCAGACATGGTGAGTATGGCTGTACAGGGGGTCAACGCACAGCCATACTCAAAGCAGCTAACCCATCCCATCCACGAGGCCCGTCACGACTCACACCTGCACAGTGAGTCACCCACCTGCCCATCCATGCGGTATGTGGCTCACATGGCACAGCGAGTCATCCACATGGCAATGATGCAGCAAGCCCGCACATGGCCACACATGGCCGCACATGGCCGCACATGGCCGCACATGGCCGCACATGGCCACACATGGCTGCACATGGCCGCACATGGCCGCACATGATAAACGCATTCAACCCACCCACCTGCACGGTGAGTCGACCTCGAACCATGTCCATGGGGTATGTAGAAGACATGGCGATGACGTGAAGGTGTATGTATTCACAGCAGCTAACCCACTGACAATGCACCCACCTGCACAGTGAGTCGACCTCGAACCATGTCCATGGGGTATGTGGAAGACATGGCGATGATGTGAAGGTGTATGTATTCACAGCAGCTAACCCACTGACAATGCACCCACCTGCACAGTGAGTCGACCTCGAACCATGTCCATGGGGTATGTGGCAGACATGGCGATGATGCCTGCTGTCGCCCCTGCCCCCAGCCGCAGCACCGGTGTGAGCTCCAGGTCTGCGTTTGAAAAGGGGGGAGGGGGGGGGAGAAGGGGGAAGAGACGGGTGAGATGCGAGGGGAATACGCGAGTGAGGGGAGAAGGGAGGATGAGATGAGCTTGATCATAAGTGCAGGCCTAAAGGCAAGGCAGACATTGGAGTCGACTTTTGAGACGTCTGAAAAGGCAAGGCAGACATTAGAGTACCAATCTGCCTCAAATCACAGCACAAAGCCAGGGGTAGGGGAATGGGCAGGGGCAGAGGCATGGGCAGCGGCAGGGGCAGATGCAGTCAGCAGCAGTGGCAGGGGCAGAGGGAGAGGGAGAGGGAGAGGGAGAGGGAGAGGGAGAGGGAGAGGGAGAGGGAGAGGGAGAGGGAGAGGGAGAGGCAACCACAGAGGCAGAGATAGAGAAAGAGCGAGAGCAGTGAGGGTGGGCGAAGCGAAGCACTCACTGGGATCGTTGGATTGCTGCTGGGCCAGCCAAAGAAGACCACTGGCGGGGAGAGGAGAGAGAGAGAGAGAGGGGGTAGGAGGGAGGGGGAAAGGGCATCGGGAAGAGAAGAAGTGGGGATGTCGTGAGAGGAACAGGGAGGGACAAGCATGGGTAAAAGATGGCCACAGTATATATATGTTTATATATGTATACATATGCATATATATATGTATACATATGTATATATATGTATATATATGTGTATATATATCTATATATATGAATAAGAGCCTTGTACTCAGTCGGCGGCAAACAGCTGCACAGACTTTTTTAGTTTGTGAGTTTTTACCCACTGAGCGGCCTCCTCATAGGCAAAGAACTAGACAGCGGAGTTGGGCACGATGCGGGCGAGCATAACCCGAAGAGCCATAGCTGATCTATAAGGGGGACAAATGACTCACTGATCGGCCTCCTCATAGGCAAAGAACTAGACAGCGAGTTGGGCACGATGCGGGCGAGCATAACCCGAAGAGCCACAGCTGATCTATAAGGGGAACAAATGACTCACTGAGCGGCCTCCTCATAGGCAAAGAACTTGACAGCGGAGTTGGGCACGATGCGGGCGCAGTTGGTGCCGTTGCCACGGAAGAGCCCTCTGATGCCCTCCTCGCGCCAGATGGTCTTGAGCCCCTGCCACGTGCCGCTGTAGTGTGCGTGCTGTGCGTTCTGCACCTGTGGTGTAGAGAGGAGGGGCGCATGGGGGAATATATGTTGATATGGCTGCTACTAATGACTTTTGAGGCGCCTCAAAAGGAATATATGTTGACATGGCTGCTACTAAACAGCAAACAGCCCTCGGATGCCCTCCTCCCGTCAGATGGGTCTTGAGCCCTTGCCACGTGCCGCTGTACTGCACATTCTGTGCGTTCTGCACCTGCAGTAATGGAATGGGATGGGGAGAGAGGAGTTGAGGAGAGGATGTTGAGGAGAGGATGTTGAGGAGAGGATGTTGAGGAGAGGATGTTGAGGAGAGGATGTTGAGGAGAGGATGTTGGGGAGAGGATGTTGGGGAGAGGATGTTGGGGAGAGGATGTTGGGGAGATGGGGGATGAAGGGTAAATGGACCTTAACACTGTCGGCTACCTCATCAATCCATCGCGAGTGGTAATCTGGTTATCAGCCAAATGATCAAAGTATCGTCATATCACAGCATCCTTGTGCCGCCCCCGCCGCCATCACCATCAGCATCACCATCACCACCACCATCACCATCACCATCACCATCACCACCATCACCATCACCATCACCACCATCACCATCACCATCATCACCATCACCACCACCATCACCATCACCATCACCATCACCATCACCATCACCACCATCACCATCACCATCACCACCACCACCATCACCACCACCATCACCACCACCACCACCATCACCATCACCATCACCATCACCATCACCATCACCACCATGGACACCACCGTGGACACCACCATACCTGCAGCAAGATCTTCATTCGCTCCAAAGGGGCCACTGCTGACCTCGATCTGCACCCATGCATACATTCCATGCCATGCCATGCCATGCCGTGCCGTGCCGTGCCGTGCCGTGCCATGCCATGCCATGCCGTGCCATGCCATGCCGTGCAGTTTTATGCCGTGCCGTGCCATGCCATGCCATGCCGTATCATGCAGTATCATGCCATGCATTTCCGAAGGGAATGGGGAAGAGAGGGGAGGGAGGGGAAGGAGGGGAGTGGGAGCGTGATTCAGGGTTTAGCATTTGAAACCCATCCTGGATAAACCCCGGAAGAATGTAAAAAACCATAGTAACGAGATGGTGAGTTTCTGGCTATTTGAAGCTTTGCGATCGACGCCCTTCCGACGAACTTTAGTCAAAACTGGTTCTCACTGACGGAAAAAACAATCGGCCCGTACCAATGTCTCCAGCGATCGGGTTACTCACACTCCTCCTGCGACGCCTCCGGCGATCAGCGATTTCGTGATCGACGCCACCGTCAATCGCGGCTCCACTTTCTCCGCTGCGACGGCTCCGCCTTCCCCCGCGCCAGGACCTCCGGCGGGAGGCACGGGCGGAACGAGCTCCTCCGCGAATCCGATCGTCGACGATGGCGGCGGCTCGTGAACGGACGGATGGATTTCCGCCGCGACTGCCGCCGCTGCAGCCGCTGCTGCTGCTGAAGGAGCCGCCGCTGCCGCTGCAACCGCCGCCGCCGCTGCCGGCGCAGCCGGCGCAGCAGCAGCGGGTTGGCATTGCGCGATCCGCCCGGATCCTGCGGCGGCTGCGGCTATGGCAGCTGTGATGGCGCTACGAGCATTGAGGAGGAACGGGGCTGCGAATGCTGAGCCAGACTGAGAGGTTCGGGAGCTAGGATCGGCGATGGAAGGTCGGGTGCGGTAGTGATGGGTAAAGGACGGTGGATCGTTGATGGTGTCAGGGGGGGATCTGGTTCTCCAATGCGGAAAAGGCTGGTGGGTTGATGGATCCATGGCTGCGAATTGCCAAGCCCGCGGAACGGAGGACGCGCGACACGCCCCCGGTAGCGGGACTAGCTGAACCTTACGACACCTTTAACGACCGTTCAACGACGCACGATATCGCGGCGCAAAAGCTAAAAGCAGTCCCTGTCAAGGCGTCTGGAAGAAATGCCGGCAACAGTCAGACTGTGAGTTACTAACTGACCCCTTGTCGACTCAAGAATCGCAGCAATCGGATCCGCCAGCAAATCGGCAGGCCTTCTCCCCGGCTCCGGGCCTATCTTGAAGCAAGAAACCCCGGAGATAACCGCCAACGACGAATCTTCTAAGGGGCTAAAGGGGACACGAGGGCCTCCCTCCCAGAAACAGCCCCAGTAACAAGCAAGAGCTTTCAAGAGGAAATGTAAGTGAATTGCACCTACGAAGGGAAGTTTTTTGGAGCAGGGAAGCAGAGCGAGAGGTGAAGGAGCCCTCAGTTGAGGGATGAAGACCTTCGGGCAGATAAGGGCCAACAAGAAAGAAGAGCAGGGCACTTTGAATACTCCAGAAGTTGCCTATGTATGGAAAATGAATCACATTAACCCATGAAATACTGCTTGCGTGTTATAGCCTGAATCGAATGTGTTTCAAATAACCAATGCCACGCAGTTCCATCCTGCCCGGACGGTTGTACCCGCCAATCAATATCTCCTTCCAGGTTCGAGCTGCCCGTCACCCAATCCAAGGTGTTTGTGGTGCAAAGCACATGACACTCACGTGGTGTCCAGCTCACGCGACGCGAAACCCGTCGGAAAACGATGAACCGCAACAGCCAATCACAAATGACAGACCCAACCTTGCCCAATCCCCATCGCCCATTTTCCAGTGGCCCCAAGGTCAGGCGGCCATTTTCAGGTGCATGCAACTTAGCCTAGGAACTCTATTCAGGTGCATGCCAGGTTGCGTACACTTTTCTCAGGTTAAAAAATGTATCCCGTTAATTCACACGCTTTTAAAGATCTGATTCGAATTGACACAAAAGGTCTGAAATAGATGCAATTTCGGGCTACGCAAATCGGAATTGGAATGGTTGGCTCTCGATGCTGCATTTTCTGACGTCACTGAGTGCAATGATTGCATTTTGTCCAATTTATACGCAAATTTCTGCTTTGCACCAACCTTTTGTGCCAATTCGAATCGTATCTTGGAAAGCGTGTAATTTTACGGGAGACATTATTTAACCTGAGAAAACTAAACGCATCCTGGTATGCACCTGAATAGCGGTTCTAGACTAAGTTGCATGCACCTGAAAATGGCCGAAGGTCAGGACACTTCGAGGACACCTTCCACGGTCGACCACGTGCTGCAAGTGCTGACTGGAAAATCTGCCAGCACAACTCATTTTAGCAGCATTCTGTACTCAACTCACACAGATGTAGCAAATATACATGCATCCAAGCAAAAGTTCATGGCCCATACAGGTTTCGAACCTATGACCTTCGCGTTATTAGCACGACGCTCTAACCAGCTGAGCTAATGGGCCGATGACGACATTCTCAAAATAAAGAATATGTTACGTAAAAGTTTCGAAGTGCCAGCTTCCGTCCTTGTTACTTTTTACTATCACGTTGCACTCATGGCGGACGAAGACTACGGCGGAGGAGACGATTTCGGCGAAGATTACGGAGGGTAGGAGCAAGACGCTGCTAAGCTTGCACAAGAACACGTATTCTAGGGTTTAGCTCGTCTGCGAAGGTCTAGGTTTTGCGATTTTAAAACTCAGTTGTTAGTTTGCCGTACCTACATCTTGGATGAGCAGTTTCTCTATACCTTTTTCTTCTTTTCGCATCAATTAACTTGAATATGCAGACCCTTGCTGTCGTCGTTCGTAACCTTCGAGGCTTCTACTCTATGTGTCACCATCGCTTGACTCCCTCGTTTTCGTATTGCTGACGTGGGTTGACGCGGCTTGACGTCGTGTGACCTGACTTTGATTGTGTGACGTGGCAGGGACTATGAGGAGCCCGAGGTGGCCGAACCAGAGGTACGTGGCGTCCAATCATTTGCTCGTCGTTTTCCGCTACTCTGTCTTGCCTTTCTTGGGTCAATTAACAAATGGAACCAGAGGTACACGCTTCCTGTCGTCCCCCTCGTCACAATCGCTGCTGGTCGTGACTTTCCCGTCTCGCGGCCTTGTGATGTCTGCACACCTTGTGATGTCTGCACACCAAGAGTCGGGGGCTGTCTGTCTAAATGTTTTCCATTCCTGAAAAGTTCTTTTCACTCCAGAAATGACCCACCTTTAAAAAGTTTCGCCACCCTGTTTCACCCAACCCAACCCCCTTGTAAAATTGCGCAGGAGGAGGCAGGGGAGGAGGGCGGCGAAGATGGGGAGGGCGAGCGCGACCTGATCGAGATTCGCGACGACGACGGCGCGGGAGGCGGGAAGAAATCAGACAAGCCGCGGAAAACGACGAGATACATGACGAAATACGAGCGCGCTAGGGTGCTGGGTGCGAGAGCTCTCCAGATCAGGTGAGAAAAGGCATTAGACAGGCAGGCATTGCAAAACGACGAGATTCATGACCCAATTTGCGCGTGCTAGGATGCTGGGTGCACGAGCTCTCCAGATCAGGTGAGAAAGAGTATTATACATACAGGCATTGCAAAACGACGAGATTCATGACCAAATACGAGCGCGCTCAGGTGCTGGGTGGGTGCACGAGCCGTGCCGTGCAGTTCAGGCGAGTGCTGCTGGGGTGGGTTCAGTGAGGATGGGGGGGAGGCAAGTATGATGAATGTAAGGGAGACGGGAGGAAGAGGAGGAGGAGAGGGGAGGGAGGAGGAGGAGGAGGAGGAGGAGGAGGAGGAGGAGGAGGAGGAGGAGGAGGAGGAGGAGGAGGAGGAGGAGAGGAGAGGAGAGGGAGGGAGGAGGGGGAGGAGGGGGGAAGGGAGGGGTAAGGCACGTTGTCTGCATGACGACAATACCTTTGACGAAGTACGAGAGAGTCATAGTGCAGGGTACAGGGTGCGGGGTGCGGGGTGCAGGGTTGAGGGTGCAAGGTTGAGGGTGCAGGGTGCAGGGTTGAGGGTGCAGGGTTGAGGGTGCAGGGTGCAGGGTTGAGGGTGCAGGGTTGAGGGTGCAGGGTGCAGGGTTGAGGGTGCAGGGTACAAGATTTTCAGGTCCTGCACAGGGACCAAGGCCTCAAGTACACCTGTCATCCTCCCACCCACCTCTCGGCTCTCGACCCAACTCCCGCCCTTCCCTGCGCCTCGTGTTCCCAGCATGAACGCACCGCACCTGTGAATCGCGATGGTCAAGTGGCCTTCTCAAGGTTTGCCCAATGCACAAGACAAGACCTCTGCCCCTCCTCTCCCCTCTCGCGCGCACTCCCTGCTTGTTCCCAGCATGAATGCGCCTGTGATGGTGGAGCCGCATGGAGAGACAAGTTATGTTGATTGCAGAAACCTTAATCCTTCCCACGGTTAATCCCCCCATTCCCGACCATGCGCGTTCCCTGTTGTTTCCAGCATGAAGGGGCATGGAGGGGACCGACTCTCTCGAGGTTTGCTGAATGCACAACACCTTATCCCCTCCCCGCTTCCCCTCACCCCGCCCCATGCCGCTTCCCCTGTTGTTTCCAGCATGAACGCACCTGTGATGGTGGAGCTGCATGGAGAGACAGACCCTCTCGAGGTATGTCATGTCATGCCATGTGTACTAAACCCGAAACCTTAAACTCTGTGCGGCCATAATGGTTGCCCATTTTGGATGCTTCCAGACACCCCCTCCTGCTGCTGTACGGCACGTCTTGTGCTGTTTACTTGTTGAGTACGATGAGTGTCATTAGGTTCGTGATGATGTCATTAGTGTCATGATGACGTCATTATTGTCACGATGATCTCTTGTCTGTAATGCAGCTGTGAAACTTATTGCCTCTTGTCTTGTCCTATCGCCTCTCGTCACCCCTCTCACAGATTGCCATGCGTGAGCTACGTGAGAAGAAAATTCCATTCACCATTCGGAGATACTTGCCTGATGGAAGGTGCGTGTGGGCCTGCACATGGTGTTCCCGTGATCTGTATTTTCCAAGAAGGGTGCAATATTTTCCTTCGTTTCAATGATTCTTTTTCGCAGAGCGCGACCTCTTGCTTGAGATCCGAGGTTAGAAATTTACCTTTCAATAGGCCGTGAAGCCTCAGGACTAGCCATTATCCAGATTCTCTAATTTGAGTTTGTTTCTCTTTTCGTCCGCACTACTGCAGCTATGAGGACTGGGGTGTGGATGAGTTAATCATTGAAGACACGTGGCGGAGACAGGTGGGAGCCAGCTGAGCGGACCCTAGTCTTCACTACTATCTGCTTTAACTGCCAACCAACTGCACATCGCTGTTCATCACAGCCATATTGTCTCACAAAGTTGTACAGCTCTCTAGCCCTAGAAATTTTGGAACTTATGAAGGCTCTCAGATAATACGGTAGAATATTCTATACAGAATGTTGTTGTGTCTCAATACTGAAGCCTACAATCAGTTTGGCATTCCAGAAATTGTCTAGTACCCTATCTACCTACTTTTTCCTCTTCCAACTCTTACCGAATTTGGCACTCTAGAAGTAGTCTCACTAGAGACTGTCTGCCTGCTTCCTCCTAACCCAGATCCAGGCGGCCTCTTCAGTTTCTCCTCAGCATCGCTCACTCCAGGCTCCAGCTCCGTCACTGCAAACCCCTTTGCCCTCAAATGTGTAGAGTTTTTCTGCTCCTTCTCACCCCTCACCTCCATCAGGCTGGTGGAGAAAACAACTTCAACGCCAGCAAAAAAAAGAGAGGAAAATCATGCAAATCAGTTTGGCTTCCCAGAAATTGTCTCACTAGTAACTGTCTGCCTGCTTCCTCCTAACCCAGATCCAGGCCGCGTCTTCAATTTCTCCTCAGCATCAGTCACTCCAGGCTCCAGCTCCGTCACTGCAAATCCCTTAGACCGCAGATGCGTGGAGTGCTTCTGCTCCTTCTCACCCCTCGCATCCATCAGGCTGGTGGGACCGCCTCCTGGGGTTGGTGCTGCTGACTCAGCTGCTTCACGTGTCAGGTCGTCAGTGGTGGCTGGAGAGCGATCCTCATTGGAAGTCATGTTGGGGTTCTTAGGATGACCTGGGGTTACACAGACCCATGAAGGTACACACGCATATGAACTGAGAAGAGGGTTGGAATCCTGTGTCACAGTTTACATTTGTACAAACGCGAGAGCAACAGAAGGGGCCAAAAGTGAGGACATTTGAAAGGGAAGTGACTGTAAAGTAGACTGACTCCTCCACTTCCGTACCTGCCTCAGTCGTCTCCCCTATTCCAACTCCGAACAACCGCCTCCCGGACACTACTACCTGCATGGAGGAGGGAGCACACATCAGATGATTTACTAGTCAGTAAGAAATGTGCCAAGCGTGTTTTCAAAAGCACGGAATGTTGGAAAACTTCGGACGTCATAAAACCCACAGTCCACCATCGTGGATCATCCACAAGCCGCAACTGCTGCATAGAGACTGACACACATTACTCCGTAGGAATAACAAATGCTGCGTGGAAAGCGCTCTGGAATCCAACGCACCTGACGGCTTGGCCGCAAAACCAATAAGACGACGCGATTTGCAGGCAGCATTTTCCCCGATTCACGGCAAACTGCTGCTGTAGTTTGGGTTAACTATAGAACGACTATGTTGCTGAATCATAGGCGCCCGGCTGAGAAAAAACGATCGTCTAGCATAAGGAGGTCGACTTCCAGAGTAATGTCAGGACACGGGAGACTCTTGGCACGCCTTGATTCGTGGCAACAATTCTCCACAAATTTCCACGATCGGGAATTCTTGGAACCGACAGCGGAGATTGAAGCCATCCCCAGGGTCTGCGTGCTGCATGTAACCTTGGCATTGAAAATTAGAGGTTTCAACGTGTCGTGCTTGCGTGGTTGCAGCACGCAACTCCCAATCCAACTAGCCGCCATGGCGGGCGGCTGGCGTGCATGCTTGTGGGATGGTCTGGTTTGGTGCAGTACATTCTTCGCCGATGGATTTGTTCAGGTGTATGAAGTGGCGGTATGGGAAGGCTGTGGCTAATTTGTGGGAGCATTGCTTCTAGCACCTCCGGTTACTGGAATTTCATTTCCAAGAAATGCGGCAATCTACATTTCGGTACGGTACGGAATTCGTTTTCGCCCAACCAGTTTCGTGCAGGCTGCTCCATCCCTCCAGCCACTGGTCGGCAGCCACGTGTCAGCTTTTGACCAGTTGATTGACATCATCATGCACAGGCGGGAAAATAGGAAGAACTCCATTTTTCTCCATGGGCAGCCTCGATAATTGAGAGGACTGTAGCTGACGACGTCCAGTGCGACCAAATACGCTCGCCGCACCGACCTAACACCATTCCCCTTACTCAATTTTCCCGTCAGAACGCGTCGCCCATGTCCCCAACGACGTTCTCAAGTTCCAGTCGACGTCGCCGAGGAGTTCCCTGTGGTCACCTGTGTGATTGACTCCACCTCAGGTAAGGCGTATCCCAACTCGTTCAAGTTTCACTCGTTCATGGCGGTTTCTATTCGGTTTAATACAGTTATTAGCTGGATTGTGGAGGTGACAGAACGTTTCAGTACGGTCCTGGAATGACTGTCTCCAGGTGGGGAACCTTCATTCTGTCAGATTCGCTTCATTCTATATGTGCTGTTGTTAGCCAGCAGAGAGAACAGCAGAGAGCAGACCCAGGAGGAGGGAGACAGAGACTTCACACGGCTGGCAGCGCAGTCCTGCGTTTATTTCTGTGTGCTTCTAGCTTCATCAAGCCGTGGCACAAAGTTGTTAATTTCGGTCTCTGCACGCGGTAGTTGCAATTTCGTGCTGATCTTGAATTGTCTTACAGCCACCATGGCTCGCTACGTGTTGTTCTTTGCTTTATCCTTCACGCTCGCGTGGTGTTTCCAAACTGCGTCGGCTCGCTTCGTCGTCGAGTCGCACAGCCTGATTATCAATTCCCCAGACAAGATCCGCGGCGAGTATCTCAGCGCCATAGCTAATTTCGGTATCCCGCAGTACGGCGGCTCGCTGCAGGGCTCGGTGGTGTACCCAGCGAAATCGAACGACATGTGCAAGCCGTACAAGGGGAACGATCTCGCGACAAAGGCCGGCGGCATGCCAAATATCGTCCTCGTTGACCGCGGAGGTGCGATTGGTTCTTGGTATTTGACCTTGTATTGATTTTTGTTTACTTTTCTTTTTCCTTTCACGTGTGGTATGCTGTGAGCAATTACCAGATTCATTCATTCATTCGACCTTTTTTTTTCCATCATATCGTTTAGGCTGGAATGTCCGCCGTGATGGATGCGAACGAGAATACTTTCATTATATGACACTCCCGAGGACCTTTAGGACGAGTATTCGTTAATTACGTGTCGCTCACGTTACCCTATTCCTCAAGTTATGTACCGAGGTCGGGCTGCTACTCAATAAGAATGTGTTTCGGAAAGTTCTTATTGCTTACGTGTCTTTCACGTCACCCTATCCCTCAACGCATGCCGCGACACCAGGCCGCTACTTCACTGCAAGGTCCTTAGCGCGCAGGATGCCTGCCGGCGCGTTCGCCGTGGTCATCGCGGACGACAAAGACAAGAACTCCACACCATGGACTCTCGCGATGCCACTCCACGCGAAAGTCTCTTCACGTCTCACACGTAGTACCTCTACCCTTTGCGTCCTTCTGTCACACTATGCCCCAAATCCAGGTTGCTATTTCACAGACAAGGTGTACAACGCGCAGGAGGCGGGCGCGTCCGCCGTGATCGTTGCGGACGACAAGGACGAGAATCTCCTCACCATGGATACTCCCGAGGACGATCCCGACGCGGCGCGCATGGTCGACAAGATCACGATTCCCTCGGCGCTGGTCCAGAAATCGACGGCGGATCTGATTAAGAAGGGGCTCAAGAGCGGCCCCGTGATGGTTTCGCTGGACTGGCGGGAAGCGCTGCCGCATCCGGACGAGCGCGTGGAGTACGAGTTTTGGACCAATAGCAACGACGAGTGCGGGCCGAAGTGCGATGACCAGGCGGAGTTTCTAGACGCGTTTAAGGGCTACGCGATAATGTTAGAGCAGGGCGGGTACACGCTGTTCACGCCGCATTACATCACCTGGTACTGTCCGGAGGCGTATCTGGAGAGCCGGCAGTGCAAGACGCAGTGTATTAACGCTGGGAGGTACTGCGCGCCGGATCCCGAGGAGGATTTCGACGTGGGGTATGACGGGAAGGACGTGGTGGCGGAGAATCTGAGGCAGCTGTGCGTGCACCGCGTGGCGAACGACACGCACGGGTCGTGGCTGTGGTGGGACTATGTGACGGATTTTAAGAAGCGGTGCCGCATGGCGGATAAGACGTACGGGCCGGAGTGCGCGGAGAGCATCATCACTGCGCTTGGTACGTATTCGTGGGTGCCTGGGTATGGGGATGCGTGGTCTAAGGCATACACACAAAAAGCGTGGGTATGTGCCTGTAGGTGCGCGGGTTTGGGGATGCGTGGTCTGAGGCACACACACAATGGTCGAGGATTTCGACGTGGGGTATGACGGGAAGGACGTTGTTGCGGAGAATCTGAGGCAGCTGTGCGTGCACCGCGTGGCGAACGAGACGCACGGGTCGTGGCTGTGGTGGGACTGTGTGACGGACTTCAAGAAGCGCTGCCGCATGGCGGATAAGACGTACGGGCCGGAGTGCGCGGAGAGCATCATCACTGCGCTGGGTACGTGCCTGTGGGTGGGTGCGTGTGGGAGTGGGACATACGCTCACATGGGGTTTGTACATGTGGGTGCGCGCGTGTGAGACATACCCACGGAAAGCGTGGATATGTGTTTGTGGGTGTGTGCTTCTAAGATCTTACGTACAAGAAAACGTGGGTATGTATTTGTGGATGTGTGCTTCTAAGATCTTACGTAAAAGAAAACGTGGGTATGTATTTGTGTATGTATTTGTGGGTGCGTGCGTGTGAGACATGCACGCACACAGCACACTAGGAGCGTGTAAAGGTCCTGATAGGTGCTTTGGTGTGTGGTGTGCGTGCACTTGTGTCCGTGCACTTCCGTCCGTGCATCCTTTTACACAAGAGTGCTGCCGCATGGGAAATAAAAGGAACAGACAGATGGCTTCTAGTCGACTGCTTGAAATCCTCGTTAATGTGTAGTGACTGTTTCTTTCCGCCCACCTTTCCCGTCGCCCCCCTCCCCCCGCCCACGCCCCGCAGGGCTGGACGTGGCGAAGGTGCGCGAGTGCAGTTTTGAGGCGCCTCAAAGCTAAACTTGTTTCTTACCACCCACCCACCTTTCCCGTCGCCCCCCTCCCCCCGCCCACGCCCACGCCCCGCAGGGCTGGACGTGGCGAAGGTGCGCGAGTGCATGGGCGATCCCACCAAAGACCAGGACAACCCCGTGCTCAAGGCGGAGCAGGAGGCGCAGGTGAGGCGCGTCAGTGGGGAGGGGTGGTTGGGAGTTGGAAGGGCAATGTTATGAATGCACTGGTTCATTATAGTGAAGTGATCCCACCAAAGACCAGGACAACGCCGTGCTCAAGGCGGAGCAGGAGGCGCAGGTGGGTGGGGGGAGTAGAGGGAGAGAGGGGGGAAAGGGGGGGGGTGGGAGAAGGAGAGGGGAATGGTGTTACACTGTGTTACTGACCAGAGGGACTTGCCAGGGACGAGGATAGTGCTGTGCTCAAGGCGGGGCAGGAGTCGCAGGTGGGAGATGCGGGGATCAGGATTCGTCCATCATGCGTGAAAGGAGGAGAGTTGAAGAGAGTAGAATAGGACGGGTTGATTCGAGGAAAGGGACTTCAAACTAAATGAATATCCGAGGAAGAAGTGTGGGTTAGAGATGGAACCAGGAGCCTGAGCTGTGAAAAAGAAGGGCTGGTTGTGCCTTAGCGTACTAAGATGTGAGGGGAGTGAGTTTGGTTGTTGGAAACCTAATGGGATGGTTCCGTTTGAGTTAACTGATGATTCATTGATGTGCTGTCTGTGCAGATTGGCACGGGCGACCGTGGCGACGTGACTATCCTGCCCACCGTGATTATCAACAACAAGCAGTACCGCGGTGAGTGGGGGAGAGAGAGGGGTGGAGAGGGGAAGAGAGCAGAGTATGCAGGCTGGAATAGGGAACCATAGTGGTGTTGTCACCATCCTGTCCACTGATCGTAAACACCAAGCGTTACTGCAGTGGGTGGGTGGGGGGAAGTAGGATAAACTTTAAACCCTAAAATCCAGGGTGTGCAGTGCAGACTAGGATAAGCAGGCATGGTGACGTCATCACCATCTTGCCCACTGTGATTATCAACAACAAGGGCCACCGCAGTGAGTGAAATAGTCGTTTCGTTTTGTAGCTGTAATGTGTTTCTGTTGTGCTGTGGCTGCTGGGTGTGACGCGTCTCTCGTCCCCCCTCCATGCTATGCTGTTCCCAGCTCACCCCCACCCTCCTCACCACCCTCCACCTCTCTCCACTGCCGTTTTCCAAGGTGGCCAAACAACGTTAGTGATTTCTCCCTATCCTACCTTACTCATCGTTACCCCTTCCCACTCTTCGCTACTCTTCTTAACCCCCCCGCTCAGGCAAGCTGGACTCCAAGGCGGTGCTGAAAGCCGTCTGCTCGGGCTTTAAGGAGACCACCGACCCTCCTGTGTGCCTTGGAGCAGGTATGGAAACCCAGCATTCGATTCAGGATTTTTGGGGGGAGGATTAGATATAAAGATGTTTTGTTAGCTGATCCTCGAGTAGATATAAAGGACAGAAGTAATGCAAGTTTCAAAAGTTTTTATCTATGAACATTGTTTCATATAATAATTTTGTTTCGGACTCCTGTGGGCACTAATATAACATCCCTTCCCCCAACATCCCTTCTTCCACCATTTTGGAAACAAATTTTTGTGCAGATGTGCAGACGAACGAGTGCTTGTCGAATAATGGTGGCTGCTGGCAGGGCTACAACCTCACTGCATGCAAGGTACGATTCGTGAGGCATGTTGAAATCTGGTGGCTTCTGGCAGGACTACAACCGACCTCACTGCTAGCAAGGTACGATTCGTGAGGCACCCGGAACGAGTGCCCGTCGTGAGGTTGTAACTTGTTGTAAGAGGTGGTGGGAGCTGGGGGCATGCCATGCCATCCGATCCGATGCGGTTCCATTGCACTTGCACATGAAATGCTTTTGCTCTTTTCCACCCACCCATGCACCTCCTTCCATGTGCTCCTATCCGTCCCATTCCAACTCGACACGGACACGCGTACACACATGCCGAGTCCCGGGCTTTGTGAAGCCTACATCATCACCACCACACGTCTATAAGGAAGTGAAACCAAATGCTTGAAGAATCCTGCGTCATGCCTCTGTGTTCACCACATGCGCGCATCTGTCCCTCCCATGCCCTCCAGAACACATTCCGAGGGCGAGTGTGCAAGTGTATCAAGGTGTCTCGAGTTTTGAGTCGACTCGAATGTCACATACTCGCCTGTGTCCCTCCCATGCCACACCAACAGGACACCTTCCGAGGGCGCGTGTGTGAGTGCCCCAAGGACCCGCAGACTGGCGTGTACCTGTCGGGCGATGGCTACACCAAGTGCGAACGTGAGTATTTTTCAGAGGGTGGGTTGGGTTTGGGTTTGGTTGGGCTGGGTTGGATTGGTTGGGTTGGGTTGGGTGAGAACATGGTGCAAGGGCGTATTCCTGGCCTCGTGTCATCCGTCGTTTGTGTCATCCCGATTTTTTTTCCCGAACCGCGGGTTTTCCGATTTGAGCTTCATGTCTTCCGATTCGAGATTTCACGAGCTTCAGCGAATAGGGTGGACGAAATCGGTTTTCCCTTCAGAAATAAGTTCGCCAAGCGGCAGTACGACACTTCTGACAGCTCGTGTCTTCCCATTATTTCGGAAGACATTTTCAGCGGATGACACGAGGCCAGGAATACGCCCTAACATTTGCTCAGACTGGCGTGTACCTGTTGGGAGTTGGCTACATCAAGTGCGAACGTGAGTATTGTGCAGAAAATCTGTGCTCTACTGGGATGAACTGGTTTCGGCTGTTTTGGGTGGGAACGAGGAATCATTGCTTCAGACTGGCATTACGCCTGTCAAGGGGTGGCTGGCTACATGTGAGCACGGTGCAGGGATTGGTGTCGGCTGGGCTGGCTGAACTGGGCTGGCCTGGGCTGGGTTGGGTTGGACTGGGTTGGGCTGGGCTGGGCTGGACTGGGTTGTGTTGGGCCAAGTTTGTTGTGGGTCTCTGTGTCATCAACAACAGGGGCTGCTGAGATAGGGGGCTTATGTGCTCTAACCCCCTCCCCTTCCCCCTTTCCTCTGCGCCCCCATCTGTCCCCTGCAGCCACTGGAGTGGGTCGCTGTCTTGTCAACAACGGCGGCTGCTGGCAAGGGGCTGGGGATGGCCAAACCTTCACTGCCTGCCAGGTGCGTTGCTTCTTGACGGCCAAACCTTCACTGCCTGCCAGGTGCGTTGCTTCTTGACGGCCAAACCTTCACTGCCTGCCAGGTGCGTTGCTTCTTGACGGCCAAACCTTCACTGCCTGCCAGGTGCGTTGCTTCTTGACGGCCAAACCTTCACTGCCTGCCAGGTGCGTTGCTTCTTGACGGCCAAACCTTCACTGCCTGCCAGGTGCGTTGCTTCTTGACGGCCAAACCTTCACTGCCTGCCAGGTGCGTTGCTTCTTGACGGCCAAACCTTCACTGCCTGCCAGGTGCGTTGCTTCTTGATGGCCAATCTGTCACTGCGTGCCAGGCAGGCTGGTTGATTCTTAACGTCCAAACCTGCATGCCACGTGCGTTGCTTTTCCTTGTAAAAGAGGCACATGTCACTTGGCTGTGCTTTGTCTGACCTCAACCTGAACCTGAATCTGAACCTGAACCTGAACCTGAACCTGAACCTGAAACTCGTCTGCTTGTCTGAGCCAGGTATGGATCGGAGCTTGTCATCTGACAGCTTCAGGGGGGACGGGTTCAAGTGTGAGGGCATGGACGATTGTGCAGAGCACAGCACCATTGCTCACCTCCTTAAACCCAACCCAACCCCGCCCTCGTCTCGCATCCTCATCCGCCCTTTCACCCGAGCAGGACAGCTCTTCGACCCAGTGTGTGTGCCCGCCGGGCTTCCGGGGCGATGGGTTCAAGTGCGAGGACATAGACGAGTGCTCGGAGCACAGCGCGTCTCACCTTCAGTCCCTACTCTTGCACCTCCGTTACCCCTTATATCCAAGCAGGACAGCTCTTCGACCCAGTGTGTGTGCCCGCCGGGCTTCCGGGGCGATGGGTACAAGTGTGAGGACATAGACGAGTGCTCGGAGCACAGCGCGTCTCACCTTCAGTCCCTACTCTTGAACCTCCGTTACCCCTTGTGTCCAAGCAGGACAGGTCATCGACCCAGTGTGTGTGCCCGCCGGGCTTCCGGGGCGATGGGTTCAAGTGCGAGGACATAGACGAGTGCTCGGAGCACAGCGCGTCTCACCTTCAGTCCCTACTCTTGCACCTCCGTTACCCCTTATATCCAAGCAGGACAGCTCTTCGACCCAGTGTGTGTGCCCGCCGGGCTTCCGGGGCGATGGGTACAAGTGTGAGGACATAGACGAGTGCTCGGAACACAGCGCGTCTCACCTTCAGTCCCTACTCTTGAACCTCCGTTACCCCTTGTGTCCAAGCAGGACAGGTCATCGACCCAGTGTGTGTGCCCGCCGGGCTTCCGGGGCGATGGGTACAAGTGTGAGGACATAGACGAGTGCTCGGAGCACAGCGCGTCTCACCTTCAGTCCCTACTCTTGAACCTCCGTTACCCCTTGTGTCCAAGCAGGACAGGTCATCGACCCAGTGTGTGTGCCCGCCGGGCTTCCGGGGCGATGGGTACAAGTGTGAGGACATCGGCGTCTCACCTTCAGTCCCTACTCTTGCACCTCCGTTACCCCCTTCACCCGAGCAGGACAGCTCGTCGACCCAGTGTGTGTGCCCGCCGGGGTTCAGGGGCGACGGGTACAAGTGTGAGGACATAGACGAGTGCTCGGAGCACTACGCGTGCAGCTGCGTGGACTGCCATTGCAAGAACACGTTTGGCTCATACGAGTGCTCGTGCTACAACGGGCTGGTTTACCTCAAAGACTCGGACACGTGCATCAGTGAGTCGGCATGCAACATGTGGCATGCATCAGTGAGTTGGCATGCAACATGTGGCATGCATCAGTGAGTTGGCATGCAACATGTGGCATGCATGAGTGAGTTGGCATGCAACATGTGGCATGCATCAGTGAGTTGGCATGCAACATGTGGCGTGCATCAGTGAGTTGGCATGCAACATGTGGCGTGCATCAGTGAGTTGGCATGCAACATGTGGCATGCATCAGTGAGTTGGCATGCAACATGTGGCATGCATCAGTGAGTTGGCATGCAACATGTGGCATGCATCAGTGAGTTGGCATGCAACATGTGGCGTGCATCAGTGAGTTGGCATGCAACATGTGGCGTGCATCAGTGAGTTGGCATGCAACATGTGGCGTGCATCAGTGAGTTGGCATGCAACATGTGGCGTGCATCAGTGAGTGATGTGCACAAGTATTTGTGGGCATGAGTGTGTATTAGTGTCAGTTGCCCCCAACACCTTCGGCTCGTACGAGTGCTCATGCTACAACGGGCTGGTCTACCTCAAGGACTCGGACACGTGCATCAGTGAGTTGACATGCAACATGTGGCATGCATCAGTGAGTCGGCATGCAACATGTGGCAAGCTGCATGCATCAGTGAGTGATGTGCACAAGTATTTGTGGGCATGAGTGTGTATCAGTGTCAGTTGCCCCCAACACCTTCGGCTCGTACGAGTGCTCATGCTACAACGGGCTGGTCTACCTCAAGGACTCGGACACGTGCATCAGTGAGTCATGTGCCTCTTGAGTGACGTGAATGATTAAGGCTGCTGTTGGGATGGGAATGAGGAGTGTCAGTGGTCATTGCAAGAACACGTTTGGATCATACGAGTGCTCCTGCTACAACGGGCTAGTGTATCTCAAGGACTCGGACATGTGCATCAGTGAGTATCATACTAGTTGCTGCACAAACGTATGCTGTGCACCATCAGTGTGTCTGGATCATCAACTTGGGATCCCCACCTGCAACAAGTGTTTTTGAGACGTCTCAAAAACACTCTTATGTCAAGTCACCATGAGTGTGTCTGGAGAATTAACTTGGGATCCCCACCTGCAGACAAGGGCGGCGTTCCCCCCCTCACACGGCTGTGAGTCTATTTGAGTCGATTCAAAGTATCCCCATTTTTCCCTCCCTCCCTCCTTCCCTCCCTCCCCCATTCCCTTCCTGCCTTCGCCCCTCGCCACCTGCAGGCAAGGAGGGAGGCACGCCTCCCACGAGGCTGTGGGGAATGGTGGCGGGCATCGTGTTGGGCTCACTCGTTATTGTAGCGATCGTGGCTTATATCGTGTACAAGTACCGTCTCAGGGTAAGTGGAGGGTCAGGGTGAGTGGGGTCGGGTTAAGGGTGAGCGGGGGCTGTGGGGAATGGTGGCGGGCATTGTGCTGGGCTCACTCGTCATTGTGGCGATCGTGGCTTATATCGTGTACAAATACCGCCTCAGGGTGAGTATAGGCTCAGGGTAAGTGGAGGCTCAGGGTAAGTGGAGGCTCAGGGAGACACTCATGGCGATTAGAAGCTTGGGGTGAGCAGGTGGTTCTGTGAGTGAGTTTTTTTTTTTGTCTGTGCTGTGTTTTATCTGCAGTCAAGTTTGTTCACTCTGTTATGCACCTCATTTGCCACCATGCACACCGTGCACACATTTGCTCTACCCTCCCCCGCTACCTCAGTCATACATGGGCTCAGACATCCAAGCCATCAGGGCGCAGTACATGCCTCTAGAGAGTTTCATCCATCACACATGTTTCATCCATCACACAAAAAATCAAGGCCTATATGTACATACGCATTGTATTTTCATCCTCCCTCACTTCTCTGTCGTCGTCGCCGCCTCTCCCCCTCACCCACGCCAGTCATACCTGGACTCAGAGATCCATGCCATTACAGCACGGTACATGCCGCTGGACAGGAGGAGAGGAGATACTCCATGAATACATTTCCCACCTTGCACGTTCCTCTCCTCCCCCCTCACCCCCTCACCTTCCCTCCATGCCAGTCGTACATGGATTCGGAGATTCGAGCTATCATGGCGCAGTACATGCCGCTGGACAGCCAGAACGACCAGCAGGTGGCACGACAGCCCATGCTCAACAACGATGATGAGTTCTCCGCGTAACCTCTTGTCTTCTAGATTTTACCTTAAAAAACAGGTTACTTTTGTGGAAAGGGTTTTCCTATTGACAGGGCGAGCTGCTGCTGAGGTAGTGGCTGTGGTCTGACAGAAAATTCTAGGCGTTGTGATGCAGTGTGCAGTGAATTGTGGATAGGGTATGCTGTCTTTCGTACATAGGAGTGCACTGGAGGATGCTCACTCAAAGCTCCTCCATGAGCACAGCTGTTCCAAAGCCGGTTGAATTGTTAGTGCGGTTACTTACAAGTTGTGCTTTCAACGTGTGCTATTTTAACGCAGTCACTAGTGTAGATGCAGCGTTCTGAACAATACAGCTCAGTAGCGCAATTTACAGTGCACGCTGACATGACAGCTCGCATCGCATATGTGACCTTTCTTGAACACAGCACACCCATGAGCGCTCCAATGGAGCATAAGATCACGTTGTCACGTGTCCAGCGTGAATCCCGAGAAGGCTGCATGGCTTAGCGCGCATCGCGCTGGAGGTTGTCTCGAGGGAGCTGTGTGAAGGTCAGGCGGGAATCCAGTTCGAGAATCGAAATGCTCAAGCGCCATGCACATCGATCTGCTGAGCATGGGGGTTATCGCCACGCCAAATGGTTGCGTGACAGTGCGATCACCCATGCCCTCGCCATGCCCACACCGTGCCCCTCGCCCGCGGCACAGGGTCATGGGTGATGGCATGGCTGTTCCGGTCCTCGCTGCCGTGTCCGCGCGTACCTCTGTCGCTCTGTCACGCGCTCATTCCCCGTGCTGCTTCGCTGGCGCAGAGGAATGCTGCGCTGGAGTTATCTGTTAGAGGGCCCTATTGTATTCCTTCATTATCATGTCATTACGTCTGCGCGTTTCTCATGCGCTTTTTGAAGGGCCACGCGTACGTGCGTCGTCGCTTCGTCACATTATCCAACGGCGACTCGATTCCGGTTTGTTCGGACGCCTCAAATGCTCAATTTCCGCATCCCGTGGCGCGAATTCCCTTCAGCAGGCCGCTGCTGCTCGTCTCGTCTCCCCTCGTCTCGTCTCTCTTCTGTGAGATGTATCCACCTGTGTGTGATTTCCCTTCTCTGGTTTCTTGATCGCGAGTCCGAATCGCGTTTGAGCGTTTCGGTTCGATGCACGCATTCTTGCGATAGTTCCTTTTAGAGCAGCACACGCGCTGGAAGAGCGAATTACTCTTCGTTTCATGCTCGAAGCTGTTCCAAAGCTCCATGCACCGAGCTTCCTTCCAAGTCGTATAAACAACTTCCTGGTCTTGACCCCTTTCCGCTTTTTGTTCGCGTTTCGTTCGCGTTTCATTCAAGCGGTACCATCATCTCGTGCGTCGGCCGGCGTCTTGCTTAGACAGAGCCATTCTACTATCCCCTTCTTCTCGCCGCTCTAGAGCACCTGTAGGCGCAGAGGCAAGTCCGCGGGCTCCGTACGCGGTACTGGTTGATCCAATAAGCGCAGCAGTATGGCGGCGGAGGTAGGCCGCGCGGGGGGCGCGCCTGGCGGCGGAACCGGGGAAGCGCCGGCGGGGCGGGAGAGGGCGCTGATCCACGTGGCGGCGCCGCCCGCGAGTCTCAAGGAGAGAATCGAGGAGTGGTGGGAGCAGATAGGGCGCGAGCAGCACCAGGCGCGGCGGGAGGGGAAGTGGGGCGGAGGCGAGAGGGCGGCGGAAGGGGGAAGGGCGGAAGGGGAGGCGGAGAGGGAGAGGGCGCGGAGGGTGACTGCAGACGAGGTGACTGAAAAGAAGCTGGTGGCTGTGAGCCAGGTGCTGGCGCTGCTGCCCATCTCGCTGTTTCCTAAAGTCACAACGGGTATGACCCACCTTTTTAAAAGCCTCAGCCCCCTATTGAACTGTTTTTTGTTAGGACTGCTGTTCTTATCTCCTGAAACCAATTGTCCTTCCCTCCTGCCCTCCTCCCCCCTTTCCCCCCCCGTCTCGCTGACCCCATCCTCCTTCCCTCCTCAAATTCGTCCTTCGATCATCTCTTCCCCCTGCTTTGCTGCAGTCCAAGGAGTGAAGCTGCATTTTTCTTTCCTCTCCCTCCTGTCTCCCCCACCCTTCCCCCGCCCGTTTCGCCCCACCAGTGCATGAGGTGACGGCCAACACGACTCTCTATGATGCCATCAAGCTGCTCTCGCGCCACAACCTCACCACTGTACCCGTTAGAAGCATTGCTGGGGAGGCAGCAGGGCGGCGCAGGGGGGGCGGAGCAACGGACGTCGAAATGACCGAATCAGAGCAACAAGCGGAGGGAGGGGAGGGAGGAGAAGGCGAGGGAGCAACAGGGGTGGTTGAAGAGCCAGCAGAGGGAGAAGGAGAGATGGAGGAGGAAGTGGAGTTGGAGGAAGAATGGGAGCCGCAGTATTTGGGCATGATGGATTTGGCAGGCGCTGTTATCCTCTGGGTCTTTGCCAATGTAAGCTTGCGCATATGGTGGATTTTTTTTTTTCTTTTCTTTTTTTTTTTATTAAGTGATGCAACATATGCTGCCCTCCCTCCTGCGGTTCTGCCGTCGTGCTGTCCTGCTCTTGTACCTTGAGGCATTGTCCATTGGGTTCGCCACGGCGCCAACCCTTCCTGCCTCTTTCGTCTGCTCTTCCAAGAGCATCAACGGCTGTTGCCCTTCCCCTACCCCTTCTTTCACCACCACACCCCTCTCTTCCCTCTTGCAGCTCGAAGCATCATCCATCGGCTTTGCCACGGCATCAACCCTCGCTGCCTCCCTCGTCGGCTCGTTCGTCGCAGCAGCCGGGGCAGCTGCGCTTGGAGCTTCGGCCGGACCTGTATCAGCCGCGGCAGCTGCCGGAGCTGCAGCCTCGGGAGCCCTGGGCGCCCAGGCCTCTACCGGGGAAGGTGCACCTGGGGAATCAGCAGCCGCCATGGCTTCTTCTCCTCGCACCGGTCGATATTTCTTTGAGGAGCTGCTCAAGAATGAAGCGTTTCACACCACGCGAGTTGCAGATCTAGCCGGCTCGTTCCGCTGGTCGCCCTTTGTGTATCTCAAGCCGTCCGACACGCTTCTCACGCTCTTCCTCCTCATGTCCAAGTATGTCGTCCGCTTCTCATGACTCCAATCTAATGTCGCGTTTCCAAAGTGTTTACGATAACGCTCCTCACGCTCTTCATCCTCATATCGCCGAAGAGCGTTATCATACTTGGATATCCAAGTATGTCATCCGCTCCTTTTGACTCCAATATCGCCGCTCAAAACCATCGGCTCTTTCTACTCCAAACGTGATTCTCACGCTCTTCCTCCAGAGGTGTTTCTCACCTGTCAAAGTATGCCATCCATTCGTTTTGGCTACGATACTGCTTTCAAGAGTAAATCTAATGTCACTTGTTACGCTGTTTTCCTCTCATATCCAGGTATGCCATCCGCTCCGTGCCAGTGCTGCTGCCCGGCCCTGAGTCGGCGATATCGACGGTGATCACCCAGTCTGCTGCAGTGGGCTTCCTGTGCGAGTGTGACGGCATGCCTTGGTTTAATTCCATCGCTGACTGCTCGCTGGCTGAGCTGGGACTGCCGCTGATGCAACCTGAAGAGCTTGTCAAGGTACTGTGCGGTTGAAAGGTTGTTTTCCAGGATGACACGTGGCTGAAAGGTCATGTAAAGGAAGCATGGTTTGCCCATATCGACGGTGATCACCCAGTCTGCTGCAGTGGGCTTCCTGTGCGAGTGTGACGGCATGCCTTGGTTTAATTCCATCGCTGACTGCTCGCTGGCTGAGCTGGGACTGCCGCTGATGCAACCTGAAGAGCTTGTCAAGGTACTGTGCGGTTGAAAGGTTGTTTTCCAGGATGACACGTGGCTGAAAGGTCATGTAAAGGAAGCATGGTTTGCCCATATCGACGGTGATCACCCAGTCTGCTGCAGTGGCCTTCCTGGTTTGGAATAGCATGCCTCAAGGTAGTGGCGGCCTTCCTGTGCGAGTGTGACGGCATGCCTTGGTTCAACTCCATTGCTGATTGCTCTCTTGCTGAGCTGGGACTGCCCCCTCATGCAACCTGAAGAGCTGGTCAAGGTAAGATGGTTTGGAATAGCATGCCTCAAGGTAGTGGCGGCCTTCCTGTGCGAGTGTGACGGCATGCCTTGGTTCAACTCCATTGCTGATTGCTCTCTTGCTGAGCTGGGACTGCCCCCTCATGCAACCTGAAGAGCTGGTCAAGGTAAGATGGTTTGGAATAGCATGCCTCAAGGTAGTGGCGGCCTTCCTGTGCGAGTGTGACGGCATGCCTTGGTTCAACTCCATTGCTGATTGCTCTCTTGCTGAGCTGGGACTGCCCCCTCATGCAACCTGAAGAGCTGGTCAAGGTAAGATGGTTTGGAATAGCATGCCTCAAGGTAGTGGCGGCCTTCCTGTGCGAGTGTGACGGCATGCCTTGGTTCAACTCCATTGCTGATTGCTCTCTTGCTGAGCTGGGACTGCCCCCTCATGCAACCTGAAGAGCTGGTCAAGGTAAGATGGTTTGGAATAGCATGCCTCAAGGTAGTGGCGGCCTTCCTGTGCGAGTGTGACGGCATGCCTTGGTTCAACTCCATTGCTGATTGCTCTCTTGCTGAGCTGGGACTGCCCCCTCATGCAACCTGAAGAGCTGGTCAAGGTAAGATGGTTTGGAATAGCATGCCTCAAGGTAGTGGCGGCGTTCCTGTGCGAGTGTGACGGCATGCCTTGGTTCAACTCCATTGCTGATTGCTCTCTTGCTGAGCTGGGACTGCCCCCTCATGCAACCTGAAGAGCTGGTCAAGGTAAGATGGTTTGGAATAGCATGCCTCAAGGTAGTGGCGGCCTTCCTGTGCGAGTGTGACGGCATGCCTTGGTTCAACTCCATCGCTGATTGCTCTCTTGCTGAGCTGGGACTGCCCCCTCATGCAACCTGAAGAGCTGGTCAAGGTAAGATGGTTTGGAAAAGCATGCCTCAAGGTAGTGGCGGCCTTGCTGTGCGAGTGTGACGGCATGCCGTGGTTCAATTCCATTGCTGACTGCTCGCTGGCTCCGCTGGGGCTCTGTATCATGGAACCTGAGAAGCTTGTCGAGGTCCTGTGCGGTTGAGACTGGTTTCTGAAGGTCACAATCAGTTGAGAATGACGTGTTTTTTAAGGGGTGCCGGTGGTGGTTAAGGGAACCAACCGCATTGTGCCCTCTCGTTTCTCCCCCTTCTCTCCTGCTCCAAGTAGAGGACGACACAGCAGTAACCGAGCCCTTTCGGCTGATGATGGAGCATGACATAGCAAGGGTGCCCGTGGTGGCTGTGGGCGCCTCTCATCTGCCCTTTGTTCTCTCGTCGTCTTCACAGGTGGAAGACGATGCAGCAGTGACAGAGCCCTTTCGGCTGATGATGGAGCTTTACATAGGAGGGGTGCCCGTGGTGGCTAAGGGTATCCAAGCTCTATTCTTGTCCCCGTAATTTTCTCCTCTCTTCTCACAGGTTGAAGATGATGCAGCAGTCACAGAACCCTTCCGGCTGATGATGGAGCACGACATAGGAGGAGTGCCCGTGGTGGCCAAGGGAACCAGCCGCCTCGTCGCCAACATCAGTGCGCGCGACATTCTGCACCTCGTGGGCACACCGGAGATTTTCAAGCGTCGTCAAGAGCAGTGAGTGGAGCTTTAACCAGCACCTGAGTGGAGCTTTAACTAGCACCTGAGTGGAGCTCTAACTAGCACCTGAGTGGAGTGGGTTACATCTCATCTGTATGGGTCGTGAATGCTTTGTGCTTTTATGGGGCACCAACCAGCTCATTGTCAACATCATGTGGACATTCTCCTACATGTGGCACATCTCAAATCAAGCGCTACCAATGGCAGTGTGTCAGGATGGCCGAGTTGGTCTAAGGCGCCAGTTTCAGGTACTGGTCCGAAAGGGCATGGGTTCGAATCCCATTCCTGACATAGTTATTTCATCTGTCATCGATCTCTTTTTAGCTTTCTGTCTCCTCCCTTTTCAGTACCAACAGCACCACCATACTCCTCTCTGCCTTCTCAACAATTCCGGGGTGAGGGCAGAATTGGCATGTCTGATGTGTATGCAATGTGAATCAATTGTGGAGATCTTCAAGGGCCGTTAGAAGCAGTGATTTTCTTAAAACGAGGGTCTAGATTTGCCAGCGGGAGGTTCAGAAGTTTTTTTTTTTAACCAGGCTTGCCAGCGCGAAAGTGTTGGCTGGCGAAAACCAGGATTTCGTGCAGACACTTTTCTTCCGCAGTAAAAGCTCGCCAGGGTTTAGGGTTTCGGGTGGCAAATGTGCACCGTCGCTTTAAGAGTACATAGGGTTTTCAGCATTAGCACCTTCTGAAAACTCTCAACTGCATCGTGTGCCAACATCAGTGTGCGTAACAATCCTACACCCCATGGGCTTGCCAGAAATCTTCAAAGCGCCAGGAGCAGTGAGTGGGACTTAAGTGGCCTGGGGCATGTCTCGTGTGTTTGGCTCCGCACTTGGTGATTTCTCTGCACTTCGTGATTTCTCTGCACTTCGTGATTTCTCTGCACTTCTGCACCTCGTGGGGCTCGCCAGAAATTTTCAAACGCAGGCAGGAGTAGTTCTAGTCGGCACGTATTGGGCATTCAGGGCACTTGAGCCTATTGGTGCTATTGGTGTTTACCATCTCCTCCTCCTCCTCCTCCTCCTCCTCCTTCTCCTGCTGCCTCTCTTCCCCCCCCCTCCTACAGGTCCTTCACTGTTCGGGACTTCATAACAGCAGCCAACGAGCCCATCTCGTCAGCTACAGAAGTGATCTGGCCGGTCATGACCCCCCCCCATCACCTACTCTCACTCCACCCCTCTGCACAATGCGTTGCTCTCAACCGCACCCACATCCACCGCATCTACATCACCGCCTCTTCTTCTCTCCTTCCCCATTCCCCCCTCTTCTATTCTCCCCTTTCCCTTTCTCCCCTTGCTTGGCAGGTCCTTTACTGATCGTAATTTTAAAAGCAGCAGCAAATGAACCAATCTCATCAGCAACAGAAGTCATTTGGCCGGTCATGACCCCCCCCATCACCTGCTCTACTTCAACCCCCCTGCGAAACGTGCTGCATGCTCTAAACCGCACCCACATCCACCGCATCTACATCACCGCCTCTTCTTCTCCCCTTCCCCATTCTCCCCTTTTCTATTCTCCCCTTCTCCCCTTGCTTGGCAGGTTCTTTACTGTTCGTAATTTTATAGCAGCAGCGAATGAACTGAACCAATCTCATCAGCAACAGAAGTCATTTGGCCGGTCATGACCCCCCCCATCACCTGCTCTACTTCAACCCCCCTGCGCAACGTGCTGCATGCTCTAAACCGCACCCACATCCACCGCATCTACATCACCGCCTCTTCTTCTCCCCTTCCCCATTCTCCCCTTTTCTATTCTCCCCTTCTCCCCTTGCTTGGCAGGTTCTTTACTGTTCGTAATTTTATAGCAGCAGCGAATGAACTGAACCAATCTCATCAGCAACAGAAGTCATTTGGCCAGTCATGACCCCCCCCATCACCTGTTCTACTTCAACCCCCCTGCGCAACGTGCTGCATGCTCTCAACCGCACCCACATCCACCGCATCTATGGCACCGCCTTCTTTTCCCCCCTCTCTGCCCCTCCTGCGCCTATCAACCCCTCCGCTTTACAGGTCCTTCACAGTGCGTGATTTTATAGAAGCAGCAAATGAACCAATCTCATCAGCAACAGAAGTCATTTGGCCAGTCATGACCCCCCCCATCACCTGTTCTACTTCAACCCCCCTCCGCAACGTGCTGCATGCTCTCAACCGCACCCACATCCACCGCATCTATGTCACCGCCTTCTTTTCCCCCCTCTCTGCCCCTCCTGCGCCCATCAATCCCTCTGCTTTACAGGTCCTTCACAGTGCGTGATTTTATAGCAGCAGCGAATGAACCAATCTCATCTGCAACAGGAGTCATTTGGCCAGTCATGACCCCCCCCATCACCTGCTCTACTTCAACCCCCCTGCGCAACGTGCTGCATGCTCTCAACCGCACCCACATCATCTATGTCACCGCCTTCTTTTCCCCCCTCTCTTCCCCTCCTGCGCCTATCAACCCCTCTGCTTTACAGGTCCTTCACAGTGCGTGATTTTATAGAAGCAGCGAATGAACCAATCTCGTCAGCAACAGAAGTCATTTGGCCGGTCATGACCCCCCCCATCACCTGCTCTACATCAACCCCCCTCCGCAACGTGTTGCATGCTCTCAACCGCACCCACATCCACCGCATCTATGTCACCGCCTCCCCTGCTCTTGCTGACACCGGAGCTGCTGCTACCGCTACACCTTCTGCTGATGTGGCTGGTGCTGCTGGGGGTGCTGGTGGTGTTGGGGGTGCGGGTGCTGGGGCTGGTGCAGGTGCAGGTGCTGGTGTTGCTGGTGGTGCTGGTGCTGTGAGCGCAGGGCAGGAGGAGGTAATAGGAGTGGTGACTCTGCGGGACATCATTGGCAAGTTCGCTGCTGTTCCGGCTGATGTTGCCCTGGCTGCTGGTGCTGACGTGGGTGGGGAAGAGTGAGGTTGGTTGGAGAGGAGTGAGGTTGGGTGGAGAGGAGAAATTGGGTGGAGAGGACCGAGGAGGGGTGGAGAGGTTGAGAGGTGTGACGCAGCAGGAGGTGGTAGGGGTGGTGAATTTACGTGACATCATTGGCAAGTTCGCTACTGTGCCGCCTGACGTTGCCCTGGCCGCTGGTGCTGACATCGGCAGGGGTGGGGAGGAGTAAGGAGGGGTGGAGTGGGAAGGTACACGAGTGGGGGCAGTGGGCAGAGGAGCTGGTGTAGCTCATGCTGCAGTGGTCTTGCAATGTGAGCGCGAGAACCTGGTGTAGAAAGAGAACCTGGGAGGGATACCGTACTGTGATTCACTTGAACATAGTCACACTTGCTGTAAATTGAGTGCCATTGGTAGTTGACTTGAGCGTTTGTTGCTAAATCCAGTCTTCTGCTTGGTGGTATGCCCTGCTTCCGTCAGTTAATTTGGTTCTATCTTGTTCAACGCCCACGCTACCACTACCTTCGGGAGGTGCCAAATGTAGGGCGTAAGAGGTAAGTGGAAGGCTTCACTGTTTATGGAACAATATGTTAAATTTAAATTGACATAATATACAATTAAGAAGCTAGTTCTAGATATTTACAGAAAATACGTAACCATCGGAATGCGAGGGAATATGCCAAGGCAAGCCTCCTTGCGACCGTCATCGTCGCAGAGAGAATCAGCTAGTAAACAATTCGCTGGAAGAACGGAGCGCGTTCCTCCTAGGAACAGCGTAACGAGAGGCTTGCGTTGGCATCCACCTGGCGTCTGGCACTCCCCATGGCTCCTTCATTATCACCAACCGACGCGCGCGTCGGCGTCACCAAGTTAGGCGGGAGGTCGCAGAAAAATCTCCCGACAGCGAACAGTAGGTCATAAAACAATCTTCAGTCAGTCGTTCTTGAAGCTTCTAAATCCCGCGTCGGTCGCTCCCGACAGCTCACGCGCCCGGCGCAGCAGGAGCGGCAGCAGCTACCCCCGCCGCTTGCGCAATCCCCGCCTTCTCGTGCTGCAGCTGCTGAACGTTCACGACCTTTCGCACCACTCTCCCACCATACAGATGCACCAGGATCCACGGGTGCGACAGCACCTTCGCCGCAGTCGGCCGTCTCCGCGGATCGCGCTGCAGCATGCACCGAATAAGGCTCCGCGCTTCCGCCGACACTCCCGCCCAGGCAGGGCCCGTCATGTCCACTCTCCCGGCGAGCACGGACGCAAACACCGCGTTGTCGTCAGGACCCCAGAAAGGAGTGTTCCCGCTGAGCAGAACGTATAAGACGACTCCTAGAGACCACACGTCAGCTTCCACGCCGTATTCCCCGGTCAGGACCTCAGGCGCCATGTAAAACGGCGAACCCGCGGCGCCGCTAGCCTTGGCGCCTTCCTCGAGGCCAATCGCCAGGCCGAAATCCGCGAGCTTCGCGAACGTCGCTTCTCGCCCGTTTACGAGCTGCTTCTTAAGGAGGATGTTCTCGGGTTTCAGGTCGCGGTGCATTACGCCGCGCGCGTGGCAAAACGCGACGGCGGAGACGATCTGGCGAAAGAGCAGCGCAGCTTCTTTCTCAGGGATCTTTCCACGTCGGATTACTTCGTCGAAAAGCTCCCCGCCTTCACAGTACTCCATGACTATGTGCACTTCCTTATCATCCTCGAAGACCGCGCGGAGATTAACTACGCCTGGGTGGCCCATCACGCGCTGCATTGCCGCGACTTCCCGGCGAACCTCCTCGCGGTCCGACTCGGACACGAGGCGGCTCTTCTGGATTGTCTTGCACGCGAAGGTTTCGCCCGTGGCGTTGTCAATGCAGCGGCGAACCGCCCCGAATTCCCCTGATCCCAGAAGATCGGCGTCAACTGTGAAATAATCCTTTATCGAGCCGGTGGGAAAGTCGAAAACGGGGATCGAAGTCGTGGCGGCCATGGTGGAGTCGAGGAGAGAGCTCTTGTGCAGCTTCTGAGGATTCGAGTCGGATGCTGAAGACAGCTCCTGCTCAACGACGTCTAATTTTCTTTTACGGCTCATGTTGAGAGACTGAGATTGGTGAAGCGGCTGAGCCATTTTTAATTTCAAAAACGCTGAACGATGGACCTGGGGTATTCAATACCTCGACGCGAATGCTGAAGAATGGTCGTCACGTCAGGTGGACGGGGGTTTTGCAAACTCTGAATTCGGACTCGAGTAATGGAAGAGTCACCAGCACGCATTTATGCGTGGAGGCAGGAGCGATGGCGGTGGTGAGGTTGCGTGTGGGGTGGTGGTGTGCCGTGCTGGTCTTCGTGACTCGTCGTCTCCCTCACTCCCCCACCTGGCGTCCCTTTGGGGGGCTGGGCTTTTGGGGCACCACACCAGGTCGGGGGGGAAGTGGGGGGAAAGTGGGGGGAAAGTGGGGGAAAAGTGGGGGGGAGTGGTGGAAAGCCAGGAGAATGAGCGAGAGCTGTGTCAGCGACTGGGGTGGGGGGAAACGGGGAACGTTCTACTCCCCCAGGGGAACGTTCCACTGGGAAGGGGAGGGGAGGGAGGTGGTTTCGAGCCGCCATGTGGATGCCGTGTGGAATGGTGCAGTGAATGTTACCAGGCAGCTGGAGGTATGGTCTCACCACAGTTGATTCTTGGCGTGTTTTTGGCCAAGGGGAAGGGGGATGAGGAGGGGTGGTGGTTGACTTGGCTGGTGATGGTTTGCCAGCTGGTGGCGCTAGCTGGGAGAAGCGACTGTATGCTGGGATGACGGGCAGGTGTGTGCGAGGTAGTTTCTAGGAATTTCGTCCTCCTCGAGAATCCTCCGCCAAGAACGGCGTAGAAGGGTCGCGAGACGAGTCGCATGTTGCCTCATGAGCATGGCGATGCCATGTGGTGGGTCAGTTACGTCGCAGGACGAATCGCAGGGGGGGGATTTTGGGTTTGACGAGCTGTCTGGAAAGTTGGTGAGACTTCCGCACAATTTCCAGCGAACTCTGGTTGAGTTCAACCATAGCCATCTATTGGTGCAAGCACCCACGCATGCGTCACAGCGACTCGCTGTTTGGTCCCGGGATTTCTTCGCACAATCCGGTAACCCAATCCTGCACGCGACGTCGACGTGTCACTGTCGTCAATCCTTTTACGAAAGCGACGTCACCACCAGCTCCATGTCAAAGCCTTTCCGCGGAAGTCTTGTCACTCCGGGATCCCTCAGTCGTCACCTGGTCAGGGTCCTCAGCTTCCTCTTGCTGAACAAAAAGCACCCAAACTTCCCTAAGGGAAGCCTTGAAACGTTTGAACTCTGCCCAACTATTCCGCCCTCCAGTCATGGAGCTCCACTATCTGCCCGGAAAGAAATCCAATCTAGCAGCCCTTGATTCGGGCAACATCGCCAATTCGGGAAAATCGTATCATGTCAGTGCTGTAGGTGCAAGATCTAGGAAGAATGCACTCTGAAAGAAAATGACTCTGGTCTGGTCCTAGTTTCTGGCCAGAGGGGAGGAGAAAATTCCTAGTGTGACTGCTTGGTGGTCACAGAAACTGCAGGTCCCTGAAGTATCATGTTTGACGCACCCGCGATTGGCCAAAAAAGGTTGCCAAGTGCAGAACTGTACTGTAATAATCCAGAATCTGGTCTTTCCAACACATTTGTTACAAGATACACTTTACACCTCAGTCGACCGAGCACACACGTATCCGGCCCAGGCTTTACAAGGCAACCACCAATCACACTAGCTTTATGCCGAGCCCTTAGCCTGGATTCACGCACCTTGAACTTTCATTGCTTGACAAGCTGGTTGGCGAGGCGACATGGCGTGCCGGTAAGGGAAGCCAGCAAGAGCAAAACGGAAAGCAGTGCAGGGAAGAGCAGATCAGAGCAAGTTGTTCCGTCCCGTCCGTTCCGTACCGTCCGTTCCGTTCCGTCCATCGCGCTGCCACTCCCTCACATGTCAGACATTCTCACTGACACTCGCCTCGCCTCGCCACCACCACCCACCCAGCATCCCTCCCTCCAGTCACGTCTTTTTTCGTTGTTCTAGGCGGGCGGCTACGTGTACAGTACTTCCCTCTCCATTCCTTGTTGGTCAGTGGTCGTCACTTCTGGTGGTACTGTACAGACAGGCCCTCGTTATTGTCATTTCGAACCGCCATAGTCCCACGGTGCATCTTCGCCTCACATCTGACAGCACCGTCAGTCCGTCCTTCTCATTCCCTCCAGTCCCCTTAGACTGGGAGATTGACCAAGGATCTCTTCTTGTCCCTCTCCCACCGCTCGTCTAGATATTTTTGAACCGTCCCACGTCAATGGACGGCACAGTCCTTCCTAAGCATCAAACTTTGGACAATATTGACCTTCTGTCAGCTTAGGGTTCCGTTCCGTCTGTCCGACTTTCCTCTCCACCGTGGATCCGACCTTCCCCAAGCTTAGTTACCAGCATCATAACGCCCCGTTATTATGGGGGAGTTCAACTTTCTGGACTCCCAAGTAAGAGCGGGTTTTTCTTCTTGTGACAGACCGCCCTGTCGCGCCGGAGCAAATGATACACCTAGAGTCATCAGCATTTTTCTCCCCTCAAAGCTGCTGGACACTGAACCGTAAATATTATTCCATTTCTAAGGCACTCAGGAGGAGTCAGCACATAGCTTGTAACGGATCCTACACAGACGGGAGATGCACTGAGTCATCTGAAGATGCGGACCTATTCCGGGCGTTGAATGCGGGCACAGCACAGCTGATTCCCAGGGACTTTCACTTCAGTTTTGAGGTAACTGTGCTGTCTCATGTCTTTGATAGCGAACTGGGAAACTAGGGAACGTAGACAGGGAGATGTCAAGTTTGACGCATGCCAGCTAAATGATAACTGATTCAACACGGAGCGCTGTGCCTGCCATGAATTCCCACGCTCATTGTTTCATGCTATCGAAACAGGTGCTGGAGCATCTTCCGGCAGTCCCAAGGGTGCGTTCTCACAGCACGAGTTATCAACCCGGTACAGCTCCCACTCCTTGATCCCGCACCGATCCAGTGCCGCTTTGAGCCGAACCGCATGCTCTGGTCCGGGCCACTCGCCGTCCTTGGACACAAGCACAGCTCCGGTGTACGACTGCCCTGCCGCCCGGGCAGCGCCACTGTAGTAAAACAAGGCCCATTGGAAATCGTCTGTTACGTCCACTATGCGCCAAAATTCCTCGGAAATTACCCCGTTGTCGAGCACGGTAAACGTGAAGGTTCCGGGAACCTTCCCGCGCCGCACGCGGTAGTGGCGGCGGCGCCATTGTGACCGTCCATCGAGGGTGCGGATCTGCATGGGTGAAGCGAGGAGAGGCGGGGTAAGGGAAGGGAGTGGAAGGGAGATACAGGTGTGTGAAGCATGTGTGTGTGTGTATGCAGGATTGATATCGGCGCCATAGAGACCGTCCATCAAGGGTGCGGATGTGCATGGGTGGGGTGAGGAGAGACAAGGAGGGTTGTGATGAACTGAGGAGAAGGGTACATGTGTGTGGTGCACGTGGTCGTGACGAAAGCGTGACAGTGGTCGTCCAAAAGGTGCGGATTCGCACAGAAGCATGACCGTGTGCAGTGAGAATGAAGGGGGGGTGAGCGTGGAGGAATGGGGTCAAGGTGGGTGTAGAGGTGGAGGCAGAGAAGAGTGTGGGGCTGGGGAGGGGGGGGGGGGGGGGGGAGGGGGGAGAGGGTGAGGATGGGTTGCGCACTGAAGGATGGATGAAGGAATGGCATGGAGAAACAGAGTGGAGTGGAGGTAGGTTTGGCCCAAGATACAACTTAAGAGGTGGGTGCAAGCGTGCGAGAAACGGTTGAGAAACCGTACCGTGAAAACAGGGTCGTACCACACCGAGCCTCGCGCCTTGCCTCGGTAAAATATCTGGAACTGGCAAGGGAACTGGTCGTATGCAGCATTCTGCCCGGCCACCACCCGCCAGCTCCAGGGCAGCTGCCCGAGCCACCCAACAAAAATATCTTCTGCCCGCTCGTGAGTAACGGGCTGCCCGCGAAGGTGTGTGAGGGGGAGAACAGTGGGGTGGTCGCGGATCTCTGCTGTCATGCCGAGGCAGTTATGTTTCTGCAGCACGCAGAGGGAGAAGGCTTCAAACTTGGGGGTCTCGTAGGAGACGATGCAGCGATAGCTGCACACCTGGTGAAAGCAGAAAACGGGGGTGGGGAGGACGTAGGGGGTAACGTGGCTGGAAACTTTGGGGGTTTGGTAGGAGACAATGCAGCGATAGCTGCACACCCAGTGGAGACAGGCACAGGGAAAATCAAGTAAGGGAGAGGGAATAAGTGAGGTAAGATTTCGGCTGTCGTGCCGAGAGAGATGTGCTTCTGCAGCACGCAGAGGTGGGGGTTCCATCGGATACGACGCAGTGAGAGGTATCACACCTGGTCAGCGGGCACTGGGCCCGCACTCATCCAAGCAGTTGAGAGCAATGACTTTTGAGTCGACTCAAAAGTTGCTTCTGCAGCACGCAGAGGTGGGGGTTCCATAGGATGCGACGACGCAGTGAGAGGTACACACCTGGTCGGTGGGTCCACACCCATTGAGGCAGCTGATGGCAGTGCAGCACTGCTCATGCAGCAAGCACTCGAGAATCCCAACGGGTGGGGGACAGGAGGGGGAAGGTTGCTGACTTTTGAGTCGACTCAGAAGTCAGCTGATGACAGTGCAGCACTGCTCATGCAGCAAGCACTCGAGAATCCCAACGGGTGGGGGACAGGAGGGGGAAGGTTGGTCACCTGGTCAAATGGTCCACCCCAAGAAGCAGTCGAGAATAATCGGCCCGCAGTTGCCGACCATGCACTGCAGAGAGGACGAGTCTGCCTCTCCCTTCCATGCAATGCAACAACAGAGTGCTCACCTGGTCTGTGGGTCCACACTCGTTGAGGCAGTTGATGGCCGTGCGGCACTGCTCGTCCAAGAAGCACTCCAGTATGATGGGGCCGCAGCTGATGGGACTCGTCCAGAATGCACCAACGGAGGGTGCTCCCTTCACACACCGCAGAACAATGGAGTGCTCACCTGGTCAGTGGGTCCGCATTCATTCAAGCAGTTGATGGCCGTGCGGCACTGCTCGTCCAGGAAGCATTCCAGTATGATGGGTCCGCAGTTGCCGACCATGCACTGCAGAGAGGACGAGTCTGCCGCCCGCAGGTTGCGCAGTGCTGGTACGTCGACGATGTAGGCGTTGACGAGAGCGAGGATGACAAACCAGATGTCGTCGGCGCTGCGGCGCTCCCAGCAGGACTCCACCAACGTGTACGTCTGGAAATCGAGGGGACAAGGGATGGGGGGTGGCTTGGGGTTTAGGATGACAGGGTATGGGGGACGGGGGTGGTTAAGGTGACGAGACAGCAGGAGGGGTGGGAGTGGCAGGATGCGCAGTGTAGGACACTCCCAGAACAGAACAGTGTAGGATGCGTTGACAAGGGCGGGGATGACAAAACAGATGTCAAACACAGCGCTGCGACACTCCCAGCAGGAATCCACATGGCATCGCATTTCATATCAGCTAACATCACATCAAACGCCTCTCTGCTTTACAAAACCCACTACCAGTACCAAGCATGGAGCCTAACAATGATGTCAAGACTCAAGACTAGCGCCACACTAGACTAGCGCCACACAAGACTAGCGCCGCACTCACCTGAACGGCCTTCGCCCCCTCCTTCCACCATCCCCATTTCGCTGCGAGCTTCTGGGGCAGGTTCAACTTTTCCGGGTTCAGTCCGCCCAGCGAGGAGAGCTCAGAGAGCGACACGTGGCAGTCGAAGGCCATCCGGGCAGGGGCAGCTGAAAAATGGGAACGAGCTGGGCGGCGGATTCGGCACTGTTCACGGCGACAGCCAATAGGAGATCGGCTTGCTGGGCGGCAGAGAGGAAGAGGGAGTGGGAAGAGGAGGAGGGGGAGAGGGAGGAGGAGGAGAAGACGAGAAGCTGCACGGAAGGTTCCACCCAGTTGACTCTGCGAGCCTGGGAAAGAGAGAGGATGGAAGAGGGAGGTTGGAGGGTGGGGGTTGAGTTGAGTGAAGGGAGGAAACGACGAAGAGGGGAAAGGCGAACATTCAAGTATTTTAAAAAGAGAGAAGAGGAAAGGAGGATCGGGTTATAGAGTGGAATACGGATACGGTGCAGGCAGAAGTGTGCCAGTCATGCCGCCCAGCACCTCTGCGACGTCGCTAGGAGCTTGTGCGAGATCGCCGGCGCCATCTGAACCTTGAGCGACAGCTCGAAGAGGTAATGGAGCGCGAAGCGAAGAAGAGTTGCTTTTTGTGCAGCGGTGCGAAGGGGTGACGTGGTAAGGCTGACGTGTCACATTGTGTCGTTGGATGAAAGACTGGCGGGGTGTTACCAGAGAAGAGTGCAATGTCGGGAGAAAGCAGGAATTCAAGGAAGAGTGAGGAGGGAGAGGACGAAGTTGACGCGATAAAGCCGTTTCGGCTGTTCCCGAAATAAAAGAAGCAGCGAGGTTGAGCATCGTACACATTACACCTAGTCTTATAGGTGTCCACGCAGCGACGGACTAGTCCTAAGGAATCCAAGAAAGAGTTGCGAAATACAAATTAATTAAGGAGACGGGAACGGAAGAACAACGCCGCACTAATACGCGGGAAACTGAGATTTGGCTGACATTGATTACTTCGGCCAAATCCAACACGAGATTGTAAGCTATGGCAGGGGAATTCGGGAAATGCCAGACAAAAGCTGTGAGAGGAGAGGTGGTGGGAAAGGAAAGCACACAAAGCACAGAACAGTAGTGAGCCAAAATCTAGGTGAATGGCTTGTGCCTGAACCAGATGTACCGTACTGTAACGTTTTGTCTTTCTACTGCAACGCACAAAAACACGCTACACCGTTTTAGCTGCGAGTAAAAGCACACGGAGTTCTGGGTCTGCACACTTGTTCCGGATTGGCCAACGCTGGTCATGCTGGACAGACCGTGTCGCGTCAGCAAGAAAATATCGTGCCACTACGACTTGGAAAAGAGCTCCAGCTGACGCGGACCATCGTGCTTTTCCCGTGGCAGCGTCTGCAAGGCTTGATTCGAGGATTCGAGATCTTCAAAATGGAATACATTTTGAAGATGGAATTGAGGTACAGTGTTGGCATCAGAATTATTTCTGATGCATACGCCACCATTCACCAACTTCATTAACTTTCACAATTTGCCAAAATTAGTCCTGCGCTAGTGTTATATCATCCTCATTCCAGAAGCTTTGCAAAAAGCTTGTCTACCTACTCACTAATTCACGCTCATTCGAAAAATGAATTATTCCTCTGAACATTTGGCAATTACAAGGTGAGCTGATCCGGGTTCTCCACAATCTTCGCAAAAGTTTGGAGGAACTCCGCCAGATCAGCACCATAAATGATGCGATGGTCCGCCGTGACATTCACCTGCACAATGCAGAGAGGGGCAACGCACTAGCTCAGGAGAGAGCGTGTAATGGATCCACTTGTCACACTAAAAAAAAAAAGCAGAGAACAGCAGTCAAAATCACATATAAGAATGGAGTGCACCTTACTCGACGGCATTGCACACTCCCAACCTCACAAACCAATCCATGCAACCCTAACTACCGTACAAATTGACTGACCTGCATCTGCCTCTTGATGCCGAAGCTGCCATCCTCTTCTGCCACCATTGTTGGGATGGACGATCCAACGGCCATGATCGCACCCTGCAGGGATATTGATTCGACATAAGTGCATTACTCTTTAAGATGGCGAGAATCTGACAGAGTGAGGAGGAAAGGATCTGCTCTGATTGTCTACACCCTCCCACATTCTGCGGTAACCTGTCTTGTCGTTCAGCAATCACTGCAGTATACCTAAAACGGCTCTCATTCTCCCTTCTCTCATTCCCACATTGCCGTATTTCCACACTTTCACACAACCTTGCACACGGTGCACATGACCAGCACCGACTCACCTGTCCGATGGGCAGGATGGCGTCCAAACATTTTTTAGTTGATAAAAAGAAACCCACACCCTCTCACCTCCACCCACACACGGCCACCCATTCAGAACTCTCTCCTCCACCCAGACACGGCCACCCATTCAGCACTCTCATACACGACCACCCATTCAGCACTCTCATACACGACCACCCATTCAGCACTCTCATACACGACCACCCATTCAGCACTGTCTCACCTGACCGATGGGCAGGATGGCGTCAAACCGATCAAATCCAGAGTCCAGACATGCTTAAGTCGACCAACGAACCCCCCACTCACTCTCACATTCCCCCACACACGGCCCACACAGTCCACCCATTCAGCACTGCCTCACCTGACCAATTGGCAGGATGGCGTCAAACCGATCCACTCCAAACATGCCCAGGTTGGACAGCGTGAAGGTTCCTGGAAGGAGAGAAAAGCAATAAGAAGAGGCAATGGAAGGGAGAAGCACACCGATGGTTCGATAGGAACGAGGGATTTGATTAAGGCACACCAAAAGCCACAGAATTACAATCCGTAGTACAAATTTAATACCACTCTGCACTGTACACCCCCTTTTTAACAACCACTACCAAGAGCTTCTACATCAATTCACTCACCAACCCTCCATTTCATGACTCTAAAATGCCTCCCCCTTTCCTGCCCTTCTCCCTCCTATCATTCCCCCTCCATCCCTTTTTCTTCCTTCCATTCTCATCCCTTCCGTCTCCCTCTTCTTTCCTCCCCTCCCCTATTCCCTCCTGTTGTTAATTTCTGCCCCCTCCCCCACCCCTATCCTGTCCTCATCTCACCTCCGCTGTAGTCGCCTGGGCTCAGGGCCTTCCTCCGTGCCTTGCCCACCAACTCCTTCCACTGCCCTGACATCGTGAACAGGTCCGTCTGGGACAGGGGTCAACGGGGAAGAAGAGAGGGATCGCGAGCGGTGGAGTGCGGTAAGAGTGCTGTGTATAGAAAACTCATCCCAAAATTCCTTCCTACCTGCTCCGCGTTCTCGAGCACAGGGGTGATCAGCGCCTTGTCCTCGTACTCGGCTCTCACCCAATATTGCGGGATCGTCCTACCTGGTCCGCGTTCTTGAGCACAGGGTGATGAGCCCGCCATCCATGGCCACAGTCACGCTCTCGTTGAGGTGGGAAGCTCTTCCCATCTTTGCGCTTTTTCTCAGGCTCCTGAGGGCATCGTTGCTCTCACATCTCATCTCATCTCTCCTTGCCTCTACCTCGCCTTGTAATCTCGACCTACCTGGTCCGCGTTCTTCAGAACCGGGGTGATGAGCCCGCCATCCATGGCCACAGCCACCGCCACGTTCACACTCTCGTTGTAGTGGAAGCTCTTTCCGTCCTTGCACGCGGCGTTCACGATGGGGTGCCTCGGGCCATGCCCACTGCCTTGGCCAGCAGCGCCGTCATGGTCACTCCCTTGCCCTTCACCTGTGGAGCAGTGAGGGGGGGGGGGGAAGGGGAATGAGAGCAGTGAAGGGAGGAGGGCAGAGAGAGCAGCGAAGGGGAGGGGGGACAAGAGAGAGACCACGATGGGTGCAGTGGGGACAGGGGACAAAGGAAGCTCTTCCCATTCTTGAACGCGGCGTTTACGATGGGGTGCCCAGCCAGGGCCATACCGACTTACAGGGCAGTCATGCTGACGCACTTATCCTTCACCTGTGGCCGAGGGAGAAAGCAGTGAGTGCGCACTCACCCGCTTGTAAAGCGCGTCGAGGGCGTCGGTGGTAACGGTGTAACCGACACGGAAGGTGGGCACAACGAGCGTGGCCTCCATGTTCCTCGCCACCGCCCCCTGCATCGCCGTGAACGCCACCACTGACGCCCCCGCTGGCAGCGGCGCTGCCGCCGCTGCAGACGCAGCAACAGCACGAGCGGCAGGAGCAGGAGCGGCGGCAGCAGGCGCAGGAGCGGCGATAGTGGGAGCCGGGGCGGTTGCGATGCCTGCTGCTTTCTTAATGTCGTCGGGGGTGATTCGGCCATAGGGACCTGAGCCCGCTACCTTGGCTAGGTCAATCTGATGGAAGGGAGGGGTGGAAGGGAGAAGAAGAGAGGGGTTGACAGAGGGGGTTAAGACGAGGAATATGCAGCCACCTGGGCCTACTGCAGAGGGGCTAAGAATTGGGAGAAAGAAGCGGGAAGCAGAAGGAGGTACAGATGTTTGTCTGTCTGGTGACCGTTGCACTTGTGTTGGTGTGATCCTTTTGTGTGCGATGTACCATAGCTTGTACTCGCATTGGACCATACCTCGCATTGCACCATACCTTGTGCTTGTATCGGATCGTACCTTCCATTGAATCATACCTTGTGCTTCTTCGCAAGCTTCTTCGCCTCGGGCGTCGCAACCACCTTCCCAGGGGTAGCAGGCGCGGCAGGCGTGTTTTGACTCGACTCAAAACATGCACCATACCTTGTGCTCGCTTCCATTGAATCATACCTTGTGCTTCTTCGCCAGCTTCTTCGCCTCGGGCGTCGCAACCACCTTCCCAGGGGTAGCAGGCGCGGCAGGCGTGTTTTGACTCGACTCAAAACATGCACCATACCTTGTGCTCGCTTCCATTGAATCATACCTTGTGCTTCTTCGCCAGCTTCTTTGCCTCGGGCGTCGCAACCACCTTCCCAGGGGTAGCAGGCGCGGCAGGCGCAGGGGGCGGGGGAGGGGGGGCGGCAGCAGCAACAGGCGCAGGGGCAGCGGGCGCAGCAGCAGGAGCAGCAGCGGCGGCGCCGTCAGAAGAGCCGAGCTTGGCGGCCTTCTTCTTGGCGGCCTCCAGATCCTCCTCGCTCTCTGCCAGGATGGCGATGGCTGCACCCACAGGCGCCACCTGCAGAAGTTTGAAGGGGTTGAAAGCGGTTGAAAGAGGTCTGAAAAGGTTGGAAGCGGTTGCAAAGGGTGGAGACGTGGGACATGAGGCGCCAAAACCCATGGCCACTCTCTCTCTCACGAGGATGGTGGCGATGATGCTAAAACATCTCCACGTCCATGTCCGCCTTGACCCCCGCTATGTCCTATTCCTTCTCACCGCAGCTTACCCATCCTCTTGTCCCATTTCCGCTCACCGCTGCTTACCCCTCCCCTTGCGTGCGTCATCCCTCATTCCTCACCTCGCCCTCCCCCACGAGGATGGTGGCGATGATGCCGTCGTGGAACGTCTTCACGTCCATCTCCGCCTTGTCCCTCCCTGCCCAACGCTCATTCATACTGCAGCTCAATTATCCCACACACCATCATCCTTCATTCCTCACCTCGCCTTCCCCCACGAGAATGGTGACGATGATACCATCGTAGAACGTCTCCACGTCCATGTCCGCCTTGACCCTCGCTAACCCCCATTCCCTCTCATCGCAGCTGAATCAACCCTCTACCATCCCCTCTCACTGCGACACACCTCGCCCTCTCCCACGAGGATGGTGGCGATGATACCGTCGTAGAACGTCTCCACGTCCATGTCCGCCTTGTCCGACTCCACCACCACCACCGACTCGCCCTTGCTCACGCTCTCGCCCTCGCTGTGACGGAATAAAAACAAGTGGTGGGAGAAAGAGATAGCAGGGGAAGGGGTTGAGAGTTGTTTGTCAGCTGTCCGACGATCTTCCCTTCCGTCATGGTGGAGCTGAGCGCGGGTACGAAAATCTAGCGCTCCTTCGAAAAAACAAACACTCACCTCTTGGACCACGCGACGATCTTGCCCTCCGTCATGGTGGAGCTGAGCGCCGGCAGGCCGATCGTTCTCTACAATCTATGTCCGCACTTAGCTTCTTTAATACCTTTTGGACCACGCGACAATCTTGCCCTCCGTCATGGTGGAGCTGAGCGCGGGCATGAAGATCTCGCGCACCTTCGCCTCCGTCACCAGCCGCGACACCCGCTGCCGCGGCAACGGCGCTGACGTCACAAGGCGGTGAGACACGGTGCCTGCTGGCAATTAGAAGTGACAGAAGGGTAATACACGCTATGAGCTGGACACAATAGAGAGTGACACAAAGGGTGTGGGATAAACATGGTCTTTGAAAGGGAGCACGGAGACCAAGGCATCAGGGTCTAGAATTGGCCGAAGCGCCGTGAGTCCTCAAGCCATGTGCACGCCATTCCTTCTCTTCCACTTTTATTCAGTAACATGTATTCCACCGTTGTCTACGGGTCCGTGAGAAGCACAACACAAGACGAGGAGCACCTGCAAGTGCAGATGAACCCAGAACCTGCGTGGTGATGTGAACCCAAACGCTGGAAGCGAATCCGTCGTCCTCTACTATTGAGATGGTTTCGAAATGGTCTAGAGATAGGTTTGCTCCTCTGCAGGTCGTACGTGACGTCTGCGACAGTCGGCTATCTACCGCGCCTGATCGTTTCTGATCAGTGTCCCATCCATAAATCTTTCAATCTTTCTGACTGCTGGGTTGACAGAAACATCGCAGCTCAAGTTTTCTAGACTACCGTTTCCCGTTCGCACCTGAAGAGCGAAGGAAGCCATTAGAAGCAATCAGTGACTTCTCCATTGCTCTCAGAGACATGCCACTGGTACACGCCATGGCGACGACTGCTAGAGTACTATCACCAAGTACGGCTGAAGCGCGGCACAAGTGGCCTCTACAACGGGTAGATGGTCACAAGGATGTCAGCGACAGAGGTGGCGTGCTAAACACTGGCTGATGAGACAATCAGAACAGAAAGTGCTGTCAGGATTCCACTGGTTTCTCCTCTTTTGTTTTTCGAGATTGCCGTCAATTCCTCTGACCAGTTTCCCCGCGCTGGAGATCCCTGGATCCTAGAGAACTTCACCTCATCCCCGACCCGACCCGATCCCAAAATTTTTTCCTGATCAGGTTTCACGCGCGGAAGCAGGGGGAGCGCAAGTCGAAGTGCATTCGAGAGTGTGCGGAGAGGCTGTGCGGGATAAAGGGAGAAGGCGGAGAGTCAGGGGGAAATGCTGGGGAAGAAATGGGTCACGATTACGGGTGGATGGATCAGAAAGCGAAGGAGGTAACTGCCACACACGTCCACGTCAGGAAACAGTCATCGACTATCGGACAACCCTCCACATCAGACACCACGCGGCAGTTCTTATCGTTGCCATTGGAAGAGACGCATCTGTCGCCACAAATCAAGACCTGCAACCCCTCGTGCATTATAGTGTTGAGGTGACACCATCTAAAACAAATATGCTTCTAATGGAGGACAACTAACCTTGCTGTAATGATTTTTGAGTCAATTAGCACAAGAGTAAAGTACTGATTATGTTGCAGATACCACTCAACTTCATCAATAGTAATTCTATCATGCATAAAAACATATATTCTTCTGTTTAGTATATAGGACTGTATCGTATTGCATACGTCCGATTGATAGGTAAGGCATGCGTGATCAAGTTTTTTTCATCCTGACCTTGAACCTGCTAATGCTTAGCTATTGCCACCTGACCTAATATAGATAAAGGAATTGCAAGTTATAAGATGCAAGTCAATCAGTAACAGCCAACAGCAGAGCTTGTATTGTAAGCAAGAGACCTTTTATCCGAGCAGATAGCCCTATCCACAAACTTCAGCCAGGCCGGGCAAAGAATGGGTGTGGTGAGGAGATAGTATTGTGAGTGTTCAGGCTCGGAAGTCAGTCTTTCAGAAACTCGGTATCACCTACCTACCTCCACTTATGACATATTGTTCGGGCCAAAAAGAGGCAGCCATTTCAAGCACCATTTATCCTTTCTAGTTCAGTAGAAGCTAGAGAGTCAGATTTTGCGCACTTAGCAGAGCTATTTCCACTCGACCACTCCCTCCACATGACGACTTCAATACCCAGTAAGGAATCAGGAATCGGGTGCATTTTCCAGCTAGTATTTAGTTGTGTGGTTGATTGAGAAACCGCACAGAGAAGCACCAGCGAGTCCGATAGTGAAGAGCGCGTTTGGCTTGATTTCGATGGCCAAAGTTTATGGATGCCCAAAGATTTCAGTTGTCAGTGTACAGTTTCGAATATGTGATGTCGTCCACTTCTCGTGTGTCACTTCACCTCATGGTGTCTGTCTACAAGGCGCAGCTGAAGTGGGCCAATGTCAGTTGTCGCGGGCACTTGATACACCCCCGTGTCAGGGGTCAAGACCCCAAAACTTCTCGAACCAGCCAACCACGTTGCGACGCAATCAAAAGGCGGCCATAAACCAGTGCCCGAACGAGGCGCGCCTGATTCCAGCCACCAGTCGGGGTTCCCGCAAATTACCGAGCTTCGAGTCCAAGTTCGTGGGCGATGATCCCTCCCAAGCCGGACCACATTGGTTCGCGAAACCCCCAAGGGACTCCCAAGCCATCAAGCAGGCGAACCCGGCGCGGAACCAAACCTTCAACGGCTTCTTTTGGTTTCACCAAGGCCACCGAACCTGACCCAAGCCTTCCGCTCGGCAAAACGTCGCCCCTTGCCTGATGCCCACCAGCTCTTCCCTTACCATGCCTCTTTCCCGTTCCACCTGTCGTTCCCCTGATTATCTATCCACCACAGCTGCTCAGATTTTCCATCCACAAAAGCTCCTCCTAGACATCTGTGACTGGTCATGGCTGGCTAACTTCGGACGGACTCCTATCCCTATCCAGTTCCCTACCTAAGCAGGAGTCTCGGAGCACTTATCTGAAGGAAAGCATCCCTCCGATAATTTAGCCTCCTAGTCAGCAACTCGAGAAACAAACTCTAGTTTTCGATTTTTTAATAGCTGTTCTGCGTCGGTAGACACGTGGGTTGTTCAGTGAAGCCGAAAGAATAGGGCGTCGAAGTACTGGTTCAGGGCCATCACCAGGGATGGCCCTGGATTGGCTCAAAACATCACTTCCGTGGGTAGATAAGAACATATCCGACGATCACAAATTTGTAAGTCCTTAACTTCTTGCATGAGGGAATTAGCTTGTTGATTAAGTGCCGTTGGCATACGATAGTTGTTAATGGGTTGTGGCAGGAGAGACCCCCGTTTCCGATGAGGCCAATGATGACGAAATTTTAAAGAAAATCCTCCTGTCGTTATGTTCTGCATATGATATTTCCTCCATCCGTCCACCTGGTGTTGTCGTTCTCCATTATCCACTCCGGGCTCCTTCATTCGAGAGTCATTGCGTCAATGCTTAACTGCCTGTGGCTGAATAATCTTCATCACTAGAAGTCCGCGCCCCAACCCGCGTGTATACAGCACTGATTAATTTTCGTTGCATAACTTCTCCCTCTCCCATTCTCCATTTCTAAACGCTTAAGCCCGTTGTCCTGGTCCTGTTTATTACCTACTTACCATGCGTGCGTGATCGCAGGCTGGGCAGGCAATCCGATCTCCAGGTTCTTCCTCACGAGAAACGGGGTTTACAACGATTTTGACACAAGGAGGAGACGGCTTCGACCTAACCCTCCCGGTCGCTAGGTTGACGGGGAGGCTCGGTCCCCCTTCTCCACGGGCCGCTTCACCTCCAATAGTGCCACGCTCGTTATCATCACCCTCGCTATTAGCCTCGACCAATTCTTTAAAGACTTCGCCGTCTCCCGCGTCCACTGCGTCGACGTTAAATCCCACTGGAGTAGCGGGCGTCGCCCCAGCAGTTCAGCAAGCAGCAGCAGGTTCGGCAACAGGCTCGGCAGCTGCGAGGCCGAAAACGGCTGGTTCGGGAAGAGCGATGGCGTCGCCGCCAGGGACACCCCCGAGCACGTGGAGGGTTCGATCGCGTGAACGAATGGCGGTTAGAAATGCGAAAGGGCTGATCGGAGCCGCTCATGAGAGCCCCGAGTGGCTGATGGATCTGGGCCGTCGGATGAACATCCCATTCGAGTAAGCTGGGTTTGCTGGACGTGATTGCGCGTCGATCTGGATGGGCTTGGGGAGTGCATGTCGGTTCAGCAGTGTTTAAGTTACCTCATTCCCTCCCGTTCCTTGTATCTTAACAACCCTCCATCCTTGTCCCCCCCTTTCCCTCCTTCCCCTCTCTCTCTTCCACCCCGCGCCTCTCTTCCCCTCTTCCTTGTTTCCCGTCCCCGTTGCCGCTCGTTCCCTCTCTCTTTGCAGTCTACTCGCAGTATTTTCGGACAAGTGCCAGAGACCCACTCCCCGGCACCCCTCCGCTTCCTCCGCGGACCCACTCTCCGCGCCCACGCCGGAGTGCGTTCAAGCGGCGCATTTGATCAACCATACAATGGAGACCCGCCTCTCGTCCTCCTCCTCGACTGCAGCAGCGGAAGCGGCGGCAATGGCGGAGCGTGGCGCCTCTGCAGCCGCGGCTGCAGCCGATGGCCTGGGAGGCACTAGCGGTCCTGCTCCTGCTGCTGCTGCTTTTGCTGGTGCTGATCCGCCTGTTGCGGCGTCAAGAGGTGTAGGCGTGACTGTGTTAGGAAGTGCTGCGACAGGGCTTTCCGCAGGAGGAGGAGGAGTTAACGGGGGAGGAGTCGCGGCGTTATCCAGCTCTACGAAGGAACAGCAGCCCGTTGCTGTCACTGCGGCCAGGACCTATAGCCCCGATAGTCGCACTCCCGCTATTAGAGCAGCCCCGGTCCCAAGGCCCGCGGTTAGGGCGCCAGCACCCGCACCCGCTGCGACTGAGAGATGGGGATGGGGAAAGAGCAGCAGTAATAGCAGCAGGGGGTTGTGGGGCAGGATAACTAAGGGTGCGGGCAAGAAAGACGCGAAGAAAAAGGTGCAGAAATTACCAGAGGCAAGCAGGGCGGAGCGAAACTCGATTATGGACGGAACGCTAGTCCCTGCCAGCCGCGCGGTCAACCCCCCCATGTCCCGCAACCCCATGTTCGAGCCCGTGGGCGCGTCTAAGCGGCGCGCGGCGAGGCAGCCGGGGCTGCGCGTGCCGATGTGCATCAAGACGGTGAAGGTGCAGTTCGGGGATACGCTGGCGGAAATCGCGCAGAAGCACCGCACGTCGATTCGGGACCTGCAGAGGTTGAATAATCTCCGGTCGGACTTCATTGTTGAGGGCGACACGCTCATCGTCTCGTGCTGTGAGTGCTTGGGGGGGAAGGGGAAAGAGTGATGCGACTTTTGAGGCTCCTCAAAAGCTGAACGACCTTCGGTCGGACTTCATTGTTGAGAGTGACACGCTCATCGTCCGTGCTGTGAGTGTTGCATTGGGGGGCGGAGGGCCGAGCGATGAGAGGGAAAGGCGAGGGAAGCCCACACCATCTTTTCCTACTGTCTTAGCATCGACCTCTCTCCTCCTCCCTTTCACCTTCTCACTACGTGTACGTTCATTATTCCCCTCTCCCCCAATCTGTGCTCTGTTTATCTCAGCCAACCAGCGTCGCTCCGTACCAGAGCTCAGGCCTGGTATTCGACGGACTTGTCGTCCGCTCTTTTCCCGGCTCTCGCCGTCATCGACTTTGCCAAAGCTGCCCGCTAGGCTCGGCGTGGGAGGTCCGGCAGCTGGCGCCATTGTGAATGCGGGCTCAGCAGCAGGAGGACGAGTCTCTCTGCTAGAAGGTGTGTCTCGTTGACCACAAGTTGGCGACTGCTATTATGTAGTTACAGTTTGCTTTTTGGGTTGGTCATTTGCTGTCTCGTTTCTGA